GAACTCCACCTGAATTCTGAAGAAACGCCTTATACACTATCCCGTTCAGATCATTGCTTGCTGACCCGATGCTGGATCCGCAGTTTGGCGGCTCTGTTGCGGAAGCTACGCTTCCTATCCGGATGCAGTTCATCCGCAAGGTCTACTTTATCTTGTAAGCTTCGACAATTCTGCTACATCCCCGATCTAATTTGCAATTCATGTCCTGCATATACCCCATGCAGATACATCCATTGCCATCAGTATCTCATGAGAAGATAACTCAAACTCAACCCTCCACAGAACCGTCCAGCTCCTTTTCACGACAATTCTCAGCTCCGTCTCCTTCTTCAGCGACAGTTACCGCACCTGGATCCAGTCACATTCCTGGCTAATGCTCGTCTCAGTCGTCAGCGCCCTGGTCTTCATGGGCCTCACCTACTGGAAGCGCAAAAGCTACCCAACCAACCTCATCTTCCTCAGCGGCTTCACCCTCCTTGAAGCCTACGCCATCAGCGTGGTGACCTCCTTCTACGATGCCCGCATCGTCATCCAGGCCCTCATCCTGACACTGGGCATCTTCGTCGCCCTGACACTCTTCGCCTGCCAGACCAAGTATGACTTCACAAGCTGGATACCATACCTCTTCGGCGGGCTCTGGTTCCTGATCCTGTTCGGCTTCATGGCCGCCTTCATGGGCCCGAGCAAAAAAGTTGAGTTGGTGTATGGTGGGCTGGCAGCGTTGATTTTCAGCGCCTATATCCTGGTGGATACCCAGCTAATTATGCGCCACTACCATGTTGAGGAGGAGATTGCTGCTGCCATCTCCCTCTATCTTGACATCATCAACTTGTTCCTCGCCATCCTGCGGATCCTGAATAGCCAGAGCAATGACTGAACTCAGATGCTCTTGTAGGATCTGCGAAGGCGAATTGTTTCATGGGGTGAAACGAATGGCATCTAAGTGTTTTCACCTCACTATTCGGGATCGGAACGGGAAGTTATAATGAACCTGACTAAGTTGGCTAAGTCTCTGCTGAGCGAGGTACTGTGTACGATTTTCATTTTCATTCTTATTTTTTTCCTTTTTCTATGGTTGTGCCTTATATTCTTCCGTCCCTCCTTCCCCTTAGCTCTACCGTTGTTATTCAAGTCATCTTAATCTTGTGGAAGAAAACTATCTTCATTTCCGTCTTTACGCGTTTTGTTCTATCATAACTCTCGCTTTTCCTCTTTCTCCCCCCCCCCGGCCTTCCTTTTTTTTTTCTTTTTTGAATCTCCACATAAATTTTGTATACTGTTAAGCACGGTTTTTTTGTTGGTTCTAATAGCTCCAATTTCCTTTGTGTGTATTTAAAACATATCTATTACTCAATACAAACTGCCAAACTGCAGTAGTCCTCAGCAACTGTTTCCCCGTGGAAATATATGAACAGAAATCATTGCGTAAGTTTTACATACAAAAGCCCGATGCCCGCGCGCGGAGCGAGAGGAGAGAGCTGAATCCCCTTCCGTATTCATTAATTAAGTAAGTGGAAACGAAAGGGATTGGAGATTTATTCTAACATAATTAGAAATCCTATTCGAGTAAGTGGACGTAGACGTATGTATGTACATGTACATGTACATGTATACAATAGGTAGGACCACACCCCAGATAATGAAATGAACGAGAAGTACTCAGAACGGAGGCTTCGTTTTCGTTTCGATTTTTGGTTTATTCTTTCGCTAGTAACACTGGTAGTAATATTTGCAGAACGAGAAGAGTACAACGTGGAAAAAAAAAAAAAAAAAAAAAAAAAGGGACGAAGCAGCAAAAGAAATTAGAAAACTCAATACGCAAAGGGGGTACTTGGAGTAGGTAGCAGATACACATTATCGCAAACGGAAACGGAAAGGGGGGAAATGGGTCTATAGGATTTGATAGGGTTTGACGGTGATGCTAGATGACACAAAACAAAAACAAAAGAACAATATCAGAGGTAAAAGTAATGACGAGAAAATAAAATAAAACAGGAAGCAAATGGGTTGGTATTGCGTGTTTAGATCCATAGTGGCAAGGATATTATAGTACGAAACACAGAACGCCAACGTCCGAAACCCCAATATTAGCTGACGACTCCTCAAAATTAGAACGGACAAGGGATATGGTTGCACAACTAAAGTAATAATCTGATTATCCCAAAAGAAAAAGGAAAAAAAAAAGGAAATACAGGATGAAGAATTGTGGAGGAAGCTGGATGGGAGATCAAAACAGCCATTTATCCTATCCAGTGTTGCTAGATCGTCTCTATAGCCCCTGGAATCGATTGGTTTAAGGTCCCAGTCAAGCGACTGGGAGAGAATTTGTGGCCTAGATTTTGAAAAATAGACATTATGCAAAAGAAAAGTCGTTTTGCGCTGTGTCCACCTGTGTCCATGCTGCAGGAAAGAAATAGGGAGTAACACTAGAATGCAGGGATTAAAATGATATACTCAAGATCGTAGAGAAGGCGTGGTATTTTTCTACGTCTGAGTGTTTGTATAAGTATAGGATAGGAGTAAATGGGCAATTCTGGGAGAGGGAGAGAGAGAATGCGGGTGTTATTGGTGTGAGGCGAGGAAGAAAGTGTTGGTAACGAGGCAAACAACCATGACAATAACCCCGTATATCGCAAGACCCAAACTCAGCTTGCGGAGGAGGATCTTTCGCCATTGCCGCGTGTTTCGTTTAAGGATCCCACTGGCTGAGAGGATGCCGCTGGCGCTCAGAAGACCCTCGCCCTCCGCGCCATCATCTGACATATCATCCGTGGCCGCCTCGTCGTTCTCCTTCATTAATTGTTGATGTATGGCAGACTCGGGGGAGGAGATTTTGTAATAGAAGAGGCCGGGAAGGATGAAGCTAATGCTTGTGCTACCGGTACTTCCTACGTACGCTAGCACGGCTTCGAGGGATGATACCGTCATGGCAACGATGTAGCTTAAAATAAGGATTACTGTGGTGATTATGGCAAACCGAGTATCTCCCATGGTATCCTGAGGCTGGTTCGGTCGAGGGAGGAGAGGGTTGCGGTTGGGAGAAGAATTGGAGGGGTTGGATGAGGATTTGGGATTCCACCGCCACTTTAGAACAGCGTCCATCGATGCTCTGCAAGGATGGACCTGGAGAGGGTAGGAAAACATGACAAGGACAACGATGGCTGCACGCGCTATCGTTGCAGATAATGATGGCACATACATGCCTACAATATTGCCGCCAATGTTGTTTCCAAAGGAAAGGTATCCTGTAATTGCGATGAGAACATAAGTAGAGGCAGCACTGCCAATGCTGGATACAATAACACTTGTTGTTCGGAAATGAGTGCTGTTGGAAATTTCATTGAGGATTGAGAACATCTGAAATATGATACGTTAGCAGTGAGACGCGAAAGAGATTCTAGTTCCAAATGGAGGTATACATTTTGATGGCAGGTGTATGCAAACACCATAACTGGGAATGCACTAAGGGCGGACACTGCGCTTTGCCATTTAAAATAATTAATCGGACCGCGCTCCGCCATGGTATCTCCCTTGATAAAGTGAGCAACGACCAGGACCAGCAGGTATCCGATAGAGGTTAGAGCAATGATGCTCGTATACTTCAAAGAGTCCAGTCGTCTCAGGAATGAAAGAGGAATAACAACCAACCTAGACGTATACTGGTTAGCAGAATAGCTCGGAGCGGAACGTAGGACGCAAAGGGGTATACAAACATAAATGCCGTAACCCAGAATTGGCGATCAAGCAAAAAGGCCATCCCAGCAGCATCTGCACCGAAGCCTTCGACAACCCCAGGCATGAGATCCCCGATGATAATCAGGTAACTTACGCCCACGCCGAAGCATTTTATGGCGATTGCGACATCGAAAATTACAGCAGCATTTGGATACGTGATCTGCGAGAGGGCGAAGAAGGATGCGGTTCCGTGGTCTAGATATTGGGCACATAACGACTGTAGATAGAGGCCAAAACCAGCTGTGAGCCCCGACCATATGATAATGAGGACTCCGAGGGTGATTCCCATCCGCGCGAGGGCACTAGGCATTGCCAAAGCACCGGCACCAACAACTTCTGTGGCATTAACATCCAACTCCTCTAGGAACATTTGTGGTCTGGCCGGGTTGCAAAAAGAAAAAAAGAAAAAAGAAAAAAAAAAAAAAAAAAAAAAAAAAAAAAAAAAAAAAAAAAAAAAAAAAAAAAAAAAAAAAAAAAACTCACTTGTGTTCAACAGGTTGATAACACTGCTTAGCCAGGTAGCCTGTCCACCTAACCCAGACTCTCTTTTGCCCGCATGGTGTCGTCTGCCCCTATTACAAGTTAACAATCCGTACTGTCTGTTGACATATACAACATTTCTTCGAGAGGGTTGCGTGGGCACAATCATGATTCCGCCCACAGCTCAAAGGGAGTATCCGTACCGGCGAGACCAGCCGTGAGAACCTCCAATAGCAACTCTCTCCGCGTATGCTTCGGTATCCATCTTATTGATTAGAAGCGCACCGCCAACGGAAGTCCGTCACCGTTGTGGAATGCAATGGTGATATCACGACGATCGGTGGCACGTGTGGCGGTATCGAGGCATCGCGGGACAGTCAGTCACTAAAGAAAAAAGAGGGAGGGAAGGGTGGCTATACCAGGGCCAAGAACAGGGGGTAAACCGTTTCTAACTCTGTGGAAATAATACTCTAGGTGTCTTGTGGAGAAATAAAAAATCAAAATCAAAAAAGCTGGATGTGATTGATAAGAACAAGGTTGAAAGTCCGGTCTCGTTTGTCCGGGGAAGGTTTTCTCTCCATATCGGGCTTGGCGCACGGTCTCGGCTAGGCCGTTGCTTTTTGGCACAGCACAGTACGGAGTACATATATTATATATGCATCATCTACAATACATTAAGCGTACGGACTTTTAAAACCCTTTGATAGCTCCTACATAGAGCGGCAAGATGCATACTGGATTGAAATATTGACTGTTGCTTGCAGTTGGCATATTCTTTTTGTTTTGTAACGCTTCCCAGATATGCGCGCGGGAAACCAAATTCGTCGATTAATAAGGCTATGATGTAACTACGATCCCAATCCTATTCCTTGGAAACTAACACATCTAGCAGTGTCAGTCTCACAGCATAAGTTAGGTTTGTTGCTATTGAAGGGAAAAGAAATATATACATCAAATACGTGCTTTCCTCCAAGATCCGGACTGCACCCCGCCTCCTTCGAGTCGCTGAACGTCATCTCATTTGCCTCATCCCGTTCTGCGAGAGCAAGCATCGCCTCCGCAACCTCTTCCGGGGTAACCCACACGTCTTTCGTTTTCCTCAAGGAGTTTCATCTTCTCGGGATGCTCTGTCCTGTTTTTATGTACCCGGGGGCAACAACACTTACACGGATGCCAACTCCATCTGAGATTGCTAGGGATCTGACGAAGCCGCTGATCGCGTGCTTGGGTTGCGCAATATATTGGAGTCACAGGGGCTGGATCCTGACCTACGATACTGGAGATATGGACAATCGACTTGGGGGTTTTAGCGTTTGCGAAGTACGACATGACATGGCAAGCTAGGTCGTTCGGATAGGGTGGGTCAGGTTGATATCAAGAACACTATCCCTTGACCCGAGTTGTAAGTGGTTGCTCTCGGGCGACCCTGGTGGGTACTAGATGTTCGAGGATTGCTGAGGAGGCTATATGAGCACGTACTAAAGACAGGAAAAATGCAATAACGAGGCCGCAACATTGAAGTTTTCCACGTACTCGTTCATAAACGCCGGCCCCTGGGCAGACGATGCCAATTTCGCCGACCTCTTTCTCCGCAAATTCGAACATCCTCTCTAGCTGCGACCATTCATTCCGTGACATCTGTTTGCTGAAATACGGGAGGAAGCGGAGTATTGGTCTACAATCCCCCGTGCTTCGGGACGGAGAGCAAGATTTGCAAGGAGACAAACAGCCATTTTGCAGTAACAATTTGACAAAGCAAAGATTTATACGTTTGCATGTTCGCCATGATTCATTAATAAATTAGAATATGTCGTGTCAGACTCTAAGCTGTTTGACTCTTACCAGAACCCGCACCAGTCACTCTCGAGATTGGTTTCACAGTGGCACCACCCGTCTCCGGATCTAAGACGGGAAGCTATCCTCCTAAACTACAGATAGCGGCTTTTATTAGATGCCTACGTCCGTACGTACGGGCAGCCGTGAAACCTCGGACCCTCCACAACAATCTGCGATCCATTCATTCTCAAGAACCCGGTAACATGCATAATGGATTATTGCGAAGGAAAGGAGCATCGCGAGTAATAGCGAGTAATAACGGGCAGCAACAGACCCACCCTACTTATAGTAAAGATTGTTGTTCTTGTATAAAATCTGTATTGAAAAATAAATAAATAAAAATCTGAATTTTGCGTAATAACATCTCTATTGTTCATCTCGTTATCTGAGTCTCCCTCATCTGGGGCTATTTGGATTATTTAGTTACTGTTATTTCAGCTAGTTCAAGTAAAAATGTTTGGTTCAAGTAATAAAGTTAGAGCCAGTTTTTATTTTTTTTGGTTCTTTACGTAGTATTTATGTTACGATATAAAAAAATAAACAAGACTATTCTTCTTATCTTATTAGATTCGAACTAAACAACAGGCAAACCATAGGTCAGCATACCCAAATCTAACAGGTAGTTTTAAACTTGAGTTATATCTATTTACTTTATATTGCCTCCTACGTTTTCTAATAAGCAATGTGATTATTTAAGACTTAAAAATACACTGCTTTCAGCACTACGTTTTTCAGTATGGGTGTTTTTGCCTTATTTATTTAGTGGTTGATTTTTCTGAATACCTACGCTGTTAATAATAAAACAAAATATCATAAAATATACCAGATTCCAGGTTATCTCAGTAAACTCAGCCACTCCACTCCGAGCTAACTCAATCCGAACTACTGCTACTTTCTGCCAAGTCCTGCTAACATCTGAGCCAATCAACTGTCACAGGGCTTACACTAAACCTAAATGGGACATCCCCAGCAAACTCTTCCTACGAGATATTAGGTTGCGAGCACGTGTGAAGTCTCTTATTGGTCCAGAAGTTAGCAGGACTTGGCAGAAGTCTAAAGGAGTTTAGTTGGTCGCGCTAATCCGAAAATATCGAGAAGAGAGGCTGAGCATGCTGAGATAAATTCCAGGCCTACATGTGGGGTGGATCACGTGCCTCCGCCACCGCCCCAAAGGTTCCGCTGAGCCGACGATTGAAACCAAGATTTATCATGAATTACGATGGTTCACGGGAATCTATATATTATGCCACGGATTGCAGTTATCGATCGTGGTGCGTGGAGTGAAGTGGGGGATTGTTCAGGCATCAACTTGATACTCCAGCATTTCTCGGGTTTCGGCCAAAATATCTATCTAGAGATATTTCCTATCATCATTGCGGATAAGTGATTTCATTTTGCCTACTACAAATTTATTATCTAAACCCCAAATTTACCGTCTCTCACGAGCATGGCTCTCCTGAAAGTTATACCCCGAACGGGCATTCGAACTGCTATTCGATCTTCTATCCGAACTACAACTCGTGCTTCTTCCACCTCATCTCAGCCCACCAAGGCCGAGGGGGACATATCGTCCGTTTTCCCGAGCTTGAGGTCGGATTATAAGCCAGAGCCCCTCCCAAGGCGGTTTGAAGACCTGAAATTAAGCCTCTTCCAGCCGAATGGAGCTGCGTTGACGAAGAGCTGGTTTAGATTACTAGCCAGCCTGGAGCATGAAGTGGAAGAGATTCGGAAAGCTGGCAGCGACGTACGTATGACGCTTATTAATGCGTGAGAAATGAACTCTCGGGCAATTAGACGACCAGACGATTGACCACGCTTTGCAACCGCAGGTTATACCATCAATCGATTACTCAGAAGTTCTATCAGGCGAGGTTGGCCCTGGTAAGCTGGACGAGATTCGTCGGCGTGGATGCGTAGTAGTCAGAGGAGTTTTGCCGAAATCAACGGCCCTTGACCTAAAACAAGAGGCAAGGGAATATATCTCTGCCAATCGAAGTACGGTGAAAGCATTTCCCCCTGACTCTCCCGCCGTTTATGAGCTTTACTGGTCACCTTCACAAGTCACAGCTAGAGCGCATCCCAATGTCCTTCAAACCCAACGCTTTCTACAAGGAATTTGGCATTCCTCGGATCCTCAGACCCAGCTCTCCAGAACCTACCCTCTTTCTTACGCTGATCGATTTCGCATCCGAGACCCAGGCGATGCCAAGTTTGCTCTAGGCCCACACGCCGATGGAGGATCTCTCGAAAGGTGGGAGGATCCTGAATACTCTAAGGTTTATCGGAAGATACTGGATGGTTCGTGGGAGGAGTACGACCCCTTTGATGCACGGCATCGCATTCACGCGAAAATGAATCTGTACAACGGAGCTGGTGCCTGTTCCATGTTACGATTTTTCCAAGGATGGCTATCAATGTCCGACACGGGACCAGGAGAGGGGACGTTGCATATATGCCCAATGTTAAAACATAGTACCGCCTACACGATTCTCCGCCCATTCTTTAATGTCCAGACATCGGATCCTCTGCTAGATGCTTCATTCCCAGGCTCAGTTCCTGGAGCTTGTCAGGAGTACTCGGATCACACTCACCCGCATCTGGAACTTTCCACTACCATGGTATCCGTTCCTCCAGTTGAGCCGGGTGATTATGTTGCGTGGCACTGCGATTCTCTTCATTCCGTTGACAAGGAACATCGAGGTAAAGGTGATTCGAGCGTGTTGTACATTCCTGCAACCCCGCTGTGCGAGATGAACGCAAGGTACCTCGAGAAGCAGCGCCAAGCTGCTTTGGTATATTCTCCACCGTGGGACTTTCCGAACGCTGGGGGACCAGGTGAGTTTGGCTTTGCTGGGACGGTGGATTGGACAAAGTTAAGCCATGATGGGTTACAGGCTATGGGAATGGGAGCTGCGCCATGGCAGGTTCAGGAGGGCATGTCTCAAGGTGAGAAGGAAGCTATTGAGATTGGGAACAAGATTCTCTTTGCTGCATAATCGGCTCAAGTAAATTTGCATCGTGATCTGTTTTTGCGCTTATCCACTGTTGAATAATACTCGAAGTCATTATGTACTAGATAAGGAAGAAAACGAATTTAAATATAATTGCGAAATGTAATTCATCTTGAACACTTGTAACAAAATTTTCGATTCGTCGAGAAACCATGCGAGATTCTTGTTCTGATGGATATATATTTTGCCTGACCACGCCAAGGAGCTTTGCATCATCGCTCTTCGGCCTTCTTTAAGCTGCTGACACCTCAGCCTCCAGAACACCACATATCACCCTCCCTCACCATCCTCACCCTCTCCCAATGATAGCTGCAAAGCAGACGAAATAATGCGGCTTCAAGCAGCCCTCATCCTGCTGGCCTCTGCCGTGCCGTCTTCCCTGGCAATTTTCGCGGACGAAGCCTACCACATCGATTACCACCACGCCTTGCTTGGAACTCCCCAGGAACACTCGACTTTCTTCCACAAACCCAGCACCTCCTCCGATGCCTCATTACTCTACACGCTTTCCGAAAAATATGTCCTGGGCGCCGTAAATCCGAAAGATGGCGCGATTGTCTGGCGGCAGAACCTGGCAACAGCCGCCGCGACGTATGATGAGCTTCGACTACCATTGTTGCTAAGAGGTGTTGAAGGTGAGGATACAGTGGTCAGCGCAATTGGTGGTAAGGTGGCTTCATGGGGCGCATTGGATGGGAAGCTAGCGTGGGAGAATGAGTTTCACGATGGTCCGGTTATCGATTTGGAGACCCTTGCCCTGGATGAGTCCGTGGACCAGAAGCAGGCTATGAAGGATTCAATAGTGCTTTTTGGAGAGAAACCGGGCATTGTTAGACGGCTTGATGGCGCATCGGGAAATGCTAAGTGGGAATACAAAGACGATAGGTGTGTTTATTATTATTCAGTGGTATTGGGGGGTTTTTGCCTAGTGGAGACTGTTTTCGGATTCTCGCTGACTGCTTTGTCCTTCCCCTAAAGTGATGACATCCCATTCCAAGTGTCGAGTTCCCAAACGGCTGTTTACTATATTTCCTTGCAATCTGCGATGCGGAAGGGATATAAAATCAGAGTTACTACGCTAGATTTGAAGACGGGACACCAGACTAACCAGTATACCCTGAGCTCGGAGGGAGAGGTTTCTTCTACCGAATCTATTGTCTTCGTCGGAGCCAATTCGATATCTCCGTTGATTGTATGGGCGGATAGTACGTGGAAGACTGTGAAAATAAATGTAATTGGGACCAAACACATCCATTCCCTAGATGTTGAAAACAACAGCGGCGAAGATATCGAGAAGGTCGAATTCCACGCTCCTCGTGCCCTCAATGCCGAACCGCATTTCCTCGTCCATTATTCGACAAAATCCAAATCATGGGCAGAGGTATATCACACGGACATTAAATCCGCAACAATATCCAGAGCTTACCAGCTTCCAATCGTTGGGGAAAGCTCTGTTTTCGCAACGAGTACAAAGGATGCCAACGTCTACTTTACTCGCGTCACGAAAACCGATATCAGTGTGGTCTCTTCTGTCTCTCATGGGATCCTTGCTAGATGGGCTCCGAGTAAATTAATCACTGAAAATGCGCGCCACGCGGTTTCCGAAGTCGTTGCCCGTGGCTCTACATATGCCGTCCGATTTGCCCAGGTTTTGGAGTCTGGCGACTGGATGCTTGTTCGAAACGGCGAGATTGTATGGAACAGACCAGAGACTCTGACTGAAGTTGTAGCGGCATCCTGGGCTGATGTCAATGGTGGGGAGAAGCTTGCCCAAGCGCTGGAAGTTGAGGGCCATGAATCGTTAGTGGGAGCATATATCCATCGCCTGAAACGGCATGCGGAGGATCTGGAGGGTTTGCCTACCTGGCTCCGCGAATTACCTGTTCGCATCCTATCGAGTTTTATGACGAGCGATAGTTCAGATTTAAACAGCTTCGGCTTGGGGAAATTAGTGGTTGTCGCTACACGGAAAGGTTACGTCCTGGCCATAGACTACGCGAATAAGGGCAAAATTTCATGGAAAACAAAGGCCGTCGAATCCCTCGATGTTGACTGGAAGGTGAAAGCGATCAGTGCTGTTCATTCTGTCGCGACAGTATATGTCGAAGACGGCAGCTTTGTTAAGGTCAATGTCTCGTCAGGAGAGGTTATCGAACGCGGCAATCCTTCTGAAACCCTTGAATCCATAGCATTGATACCCAATGCTGGGAATCCAGTTCCCGTTCGCGTCCAAGCTGGTGGTGTTCCCGATCTATCCTCAGTACCTTTGGACAGCAACACATTCGTTGTAACGCTCAACGAAGGTCGAGTACTCGGCTGGAACTCAGCGAGTCCCAAGGTGCCCCTTTGGGAATTTTTACCTGCTCAAGGCGAGAAACTTATTAATGCTATAGCCCGCCCGTCTCACGACCCAGTTGCATCGATTGGAAAGGTGTTAGGGGACCGGTCTGTTCTTTACAAATATTTGAACCCGAACCTTGCTCTCATCACCGCCGCTGGGGATTCGACGGCTAGCTTCTATCTCCTCGATGCTATATCTGGACAGGTCCTTCACTCCATCACCCAACCGGGCGTCGATACCAGCCAACCCATTGCCACAGCTCTTTCCGAAAATTGGTTCACTTACTCTCTCTGGGCTGATGTAACCAATAGTTCGGAATCAAAGGGCTACCAGCTGGTGATCTCCGAACTCTACGAGTCCCCTAACCCCAATGACCGCGGCCCTCTAGGTGACGCTGCAAATTACTCCAGCATCCATACAGACTCCGGTATTCCCCGGCCTCACGTAATCTCTCAGGCCTACATAATCCCCGAACCCATCTCAAGCATGGCTGTCTCTCAGACCCGCCAAGGTATAACAACCAAACAGTTACTTTGCGCCCTGCCAGCCTCTAACAGCATCATCGGTATCCCGCGCCAACTCCTAGACCCCCGACGTCCAATGGGTCGCCCGCCAACGGCGAAAGAGGTGGAGGAGGGTCTCATACAATATGGCGCTTTCCTAGACTTTGATGGCAGATGGTTCCTCACGCACTCGCGCGAGGTTATTGGTGTTCGCGATATTGAATCGAGCCCGACTTTGCTAGAAAGTACTAGCCTTGTTTTCGCCTATGGACTGGATATATTTGGCACGAGGATCACTCCTAGCCAGGCCTTTGATATTTTGGGCAAGGGATTCTCGAAGGTACAGTTGGTGCTGACCGTTGTTGCGCTGGCGGTTGGTGTTGCGATGCTGGCTCCTCTGGTAAGTCGCTCACTCTTCTTTTCCCACCCCTGGCTATAGTTTTATGCTTGCTATCACCGTCAACCCAATGCTAACCGGTGAATTATCTTTCCTTTTTTCATAGGCCCGACAGAAACAAGTGGATATGAAATGGAAGTCTTGAAATGAAAACGATAAAACCACGCAAAATAAATATCAAGTGAAACTCACTTAGTAGACCAAGAAAATATTCCTCCCCAACCACGCTGTTTCTCAAACCAATCCTCTATATAGAGAACATGGCTGTATATTATTTTACATATTGAAGAAAACGAGAACAACAAACTTTCCTTATGTCTCGAAGTGCTTGGATCTTCTATTATTTATATTTAATCTTGTTCTTTGCTGTATTATTTTATTTAAATGCATTGTTGACACATTTGCATCTAGAAGCCCTAGAGATATTATTCTTTACATACATCATAACTTTCCTCAAGGAGGTCGGTAATTATCATCAAATTGAACTTCGTTTTCATGGAGCCCTCTAGGCTGAAATCTCCCTCCGGCCAAGGCGCTAGATAGCTTAATCTCTCAGGGGCCAAAACCCTGCACCTACAAAGTAAAGAGATCAATCGATCGCGAACCTACAAAAGTCAAGATCCTGCTTTTCTTCAGGTGTCGCCAGCAAACGGCCCGGGCGCACGATGTGGTGGTATCTTCTCTACTTCGCGGTTGCGGCCAACGCCGTCGCCTTCACCTCTCCCACTGCGACAATTGCCAGCAACAAGCAAAACGCCCCGTTCAAAATCCCAGAAACAACGAAGGTTCCCCCCGTAGATGGTGGACGCGCTCGCAAACTGGTTCGTCGGGCGACCACTACAGAGGCGCCAGCTTCAGTCTGTGGTTACTTTGCAGGCTCCAAGCGTCAGATTTCCTCTCCAGAATAAAAACTCTACAGTAAGACCGTTTATAATCGAACTAAATGACCCATATATATATATATACAGAATCCCGTCTGGCTTGCTACAATAGCAATGCCTGCGTCTTCCATTCCTCCAACGCCAACTTCCCCGCAATGATGGGCTGCTGTCCGACGGTGTCCACCACCACGCATTGCACGTTTATCAGCACCTGCTACGGCAGCTCTCAGCTCGCAGAAACCTCATCACTTCGCGCCTATTCCAATGATCCGTTTGTGATGCTGTGTACCGGCGACCAAGACCCGCACTGCCACACTAGGACTTGGCCCGGTCTCTCCATCGCGGATTATAAATGTACCCATTCAGCCTCCTCAGGCGCTGAGACGATGTTCACCATCGGCTCTCTGACCGATGTCACGATCGATGCGGACCAGATTACGGAAACCATGACGATTTCCTGGGTCGACGACTCGGTTTTATTGGCGATCCGGGGTCCCTCTGCTACGGGGATTACCGGTACCGAGACCACAGGTCCACAAACCACAGCGACAGAGAGCGGAACCGCACAACCACAACCAGGAGACGACAACAGCGACTCTGATGAAGACTCCGACTCAAAGGCGTCGACAGGAACGATTGTCGGCGGTGTTATTGGCGGCGTTGGCGGCGTGCTTGTTGTTGTTATCATCGTACTGTTTGTCTGGAGGTCTAAGCGGAAACGGGCGGCGGAAACAACGGAGACGGTCGCAGATAAGGCTGACCCGGAGCCACCATCACCCTTTGATGGGGGTGGTGGTGACACGGAGCCTATGATTCATGAAATGCATGACATTGACGCCCGCCAGCGACAGGAGCTGATGCCAGAACGAACCTATGTAGAACTGCCTGCACCGGAAGTGCGACACCAGCTCGAATAGAAGGTTTTTTTTCTTCTTTTTTCATTATGGTTCTAACGGTTTCTATATAAATACCCCCCTTTTCCGTTCCATTTTTGTATTTTGGTATATTAATGATTTTGTATATTTTGCAATCTTTCAAGCAATGAACATGTACTCTTTTTGAAGGCATTTCAGCGTGAAAGCGCTTTCAGATGTCAAAATTCCATTTGCGGGACCTGTTGTTGATTATTAATGAATGAGACCGAGTTCTAGCAGTACAGATGTATATGTATGTACAGTAGTACATCTGCGCTCAGCACGCAATGGAGAGCTAGCTATGCCATTATTCGGTATAACTACAAAATATAAATTGTACATCATAAGATAAGACGATTGACATGCAGACTAGAATCACGCTAAGCGACAGGAGAACCAGCGAGGAAAACTGTCAAATAATTGAGAGGAGATAAAAATAGATCAAAAACAACCTCCATATTTCATCGACGGCAGCAAAAGCCCCAAAGTTCAAACCCATAGCTAAAAATAAATATATCTAAACCCCTATCAATAATGATAATGGCCGGTATTAAAGATAGATTATCCGCCCAACTAACCCTATTGATAGTGATCCCACGATTATGCCGTTTCCGTTCCAATTTCATCCAGATAGTTAAAAAGAAAAAAATAAAAGTAAAGGAATAAAAAAGAAGAAAATAAATAAAAACGATAAGATGTTGTAAATGCCAAATAGCCGAAATAGAAATAAAAATTAAACTGTAAGAAGGAGCTGCCTGAAGTTAGAATACAATTGTAGCCTGCGCGGAACCTGGGGTGGGTACTGGCATCTTTTATCTCCATCGCTCTTTTGCTGTCCCATCCCATCCGTCCCGTTCCCTTTCCCGCTCGTGCTGGTCCTCTCGCCCATCCCCTCCATACCGCCACAGTCTTGGACCGAAAATTGAAACCGTCTTCCTTCCATCACTTGCTGGCGAAAATGTGAAATTCCGAAGCTGAAAACTACATCTGGCGGGGGTTGGGGGGGGGGGGGGGGGGTGGAGGCAAAGAAAAAATTTCGAAAGGCTATACAAAAAGAAATACAAGCCCAAAGCCTCCATCCATGTCAGGAAAAAAAAAAAAAAAAAAAAAAAAAAACAAGGAATAAGAAGCGTCGTTTTTCGTGAATCCTTCTTCTTTGCCTATCACCCCCATCTGTCCACAGCCTCTTTCTCAGCAGCTTCTCTAGAGAACGTAGTCCACGGCTGCGGCGCGTCAGCAGCGTCATTGTCAATCTTCGTCCCCTTGAATTTGCAACTGCTCCCAAGAGCAGGGAAGCCCGCCACACCATTGAAGGTGATGGCTTCATTGGTCGTGAACTCGATGTAACCATCTTGCGACGTCGTGCCTTCCTCTGAATGAATTTCCCCTTCGCTCGTCGATCTACCACGCCAGCTAAAGTAAACGCGGCGATCCTTCACTGGAGCGGATTGCGTCGCGTGGGGGAGATCGCCTCCGTTCCCACTGCTGCTCGCCTCCGCTTCTTCATCGACATTGCCTGCTGCACCACTCTTACTCATCACGGCGCGGAATTTCTTCAGCGTGGGCTTGTCTGCAGCGAACAGCATCGTGCCCTCAAGGATGCCCAGATTGAATCCACCAATCAATCCCAGGGGGCTTTCTGACGTCCTTGTAATCGTAAGCTCCATCTCTTCCGCCTCGTTTGGCCAATTCTCCTCCACCTCCTTGCACTCCAGTGAGTAGATACCGATTATTTTATCCAGGGGGAAGCCAGATGAGCTCTCCACCGTGCCATTGATATCTTCGGATGCAGCATCTGTAGTTACTTTCCTGGGTCTGCCGCGTTTTGACGGCGCGGCAGTTGTGGCAGTGGTGGTAGTAGGTATATCAGAGTTCAGTCGCGGTTTTTTGCTAGGAGCGGTTGGATCATCTTTCCTTGGCCGGCCACGCCCTCTCTTTGGACCGGTAGGGGCTGGTTTAGGAAGCTCGCTGGGGTTCTTGCGTGGTCTACCTCTCTTTCTTGGAGGTCCAGCTGGGGGCGAGAGTTTCTTCACGGGGTTTCCTGTAGCGTCTAGCTTTGGAGGACGACCTCGCTTTCTAGGTAAGGGGGCGTCAGCCATAGCAGTGGTATACGTGGGTAGAAGGATGGGATCTTGCCCAATTGTCCGAATTGGATGGAGTATCGAGCTGCAAGATATGTAAGGGGATGGAGATGAAACGGGAAACTTGGGAAAGGGGAGAGAAATAAGAAATCGAGCACGGGGTGAAGCTGGGAATGGCAGGAGCACAGGGGCTGTCACCGCTTTCCTGATTCGGAACTTGGGGCCGGGCCAGACCCAAAGAAGCTAGCGTACATTCTGCCACAATTTTATTTACTTGGCACGCTAAGGAAAGGAGACCTTTCCTCTTCGATACTAGTGGATATCCTACAACCTCGGTTGGGTTGAAACCTTAGATCTTCTAAATCTACAGCGTATACGCCATATGTATATAGAGAGATGACGGGCGGGACTGAAGCACAACGGAGAAGCAATAGGTAGGAGGGAATAGTGTCCAGGGAAGTTTGTAGCCCAAAAAGTCCAAGTACTCAATTAATTAAACGGATCGGAGTTTGTGCTACGTATCAATGGGTTTCTGCATATACCTATCCTCTCTGTTCTCTGCTACATTCATCTTAAAAACTGAAGCTACGAAAAGAGGGAGTCGTCAAAAAGGATCTAAACAAATATTAGATCAAGTGGATAGTATGAATTGAATAATAGGGCTGGAAGATAATCATTACTAGAATAAGTAAAAAAGGAACTTTATGGATAAACAAAAGGCCTGGTCAACCAATATAACATGCATCCATATACATACACGTATATATACTTCTATCTCAGGCAATCAACGGTACAGGCATGTACAGAGTCATACAAGCTGAAATTACCGCACACAAACACCTAAAAGGTCAAAAACCAATCAACCCCAATGAATCTAAGAAAGCAAAGGAAGCAAAGAAGCAAGAAATAAGGTCGTCAAAGCTCTGATGCTATGTAAAGGCAAGATCCAAAAAGAAAAAAGAAAAAGGGTAAGATATTAGAAGCACCGTAAGCATGCCGAAAGACAAAAGAAATGCAGCTCACCCCTGCACGCAACGACGCTGAGTTAAACAAGGGCTTGAAGGATCCTCATGCAGTGGTCGGAATTGGCGACCCTTTATCAGCAGCTGCGGATGCGGGCTCAGGAACTTTTTCATTGTCCACTTCCAAAGCCGCAAGGCCTGCCGTGACCGCATCCATGTTTACGCCGCCCCTCCCGTCTCCATTTATCACTACCTCTTTCTCCGCAAGTGCTTCACTCCCCGCAGTACTAACCCCAGCACTGGCATCGGTACCCCGGCCATGTTTCGCCCGCGAAATAGTAAGAGTCCTCCTCCGATCAACCCCGTCCAGACTCCCCATAATCTCCACCGTCTCTTCATTCCACGCAACGGGCCCGTTGACAAAATCCGTCCTTGTATCCCCCGTCACAGGCACAGATAGGTCTGCAGCGGAGACATCATTAGTCCCCCTTTCTCCAACGCGCATCAAGACGCTTGCGAGTTTCTTAGCCGGCTCGTCAAGTGACGGCATGTCCCCCCAGTTCCACTCCAGCTCGCCGCCGTACTGTTTTGGGATGTTGCTGGGGTCCATAAAGGTGCCGAGGGTGGATATTACTTCGGATGCGGAGAGGATGAAGATCTTTGATGTTGTCACGGGGTCGAACCAGCGCTTTATCCAGCCCCAGACGGTGGGGAAGAAGGCGGGAGCTCCGATTATCTGTTCTCTAACGTTAGTTCGTATTCTTCGCTTTCAGCTCTTTTGTTAAAAAGAAAAGTTCCCATTTCCGGTTTCTTCGGAGTAAAAGGCTGGCTGTCTTTGTATGTACGCCCGTTTTGGGACGGATGGAATACCCATCCCAACAACCAAGGGACGGAACTGATGATATCCATGCTGAGATAGCAATGAAACACACACACACCAAAAAAAAAAAAAAAAAAAAAAAAAAAAAAAAAAAAAAAGGAGAGAGAGAAAAAGAAAAAAGAAAAAGAAAAGAAAAAGAAAAAGAAAAAGGCGGCTAAAGAGTGAAAAGAAAGGGCTCCACATACAAATATTCTATCCAAAGTCTCCGGATAATGTGCTGTCGCCAACACGCTTGCATCCTGCATATGTCCTTTTAGATTCCAAAACTGCTTAAGTCCCACGCCCGAAATATCCACAATATTCGTCGTGTTCACAATCGGAGTCTCCGGATGCGGCCGCTCTAGCTCGCTACACAACGGCAGCACAAACCGGATCATGTTCTCATACAGCGCAAAGAGACGGAGGAGCCGTGCTGGTACTTTGGAGGAGGCGTGGGTTGCGGATGTTTTGCTGGTTGAGGCACCGGACGAGTAGGCTGCCATGTTCTTGCTGTTTAGGTTCTTTATTACGAAGACGTAGATGGGAATTCCACGGCGGTCTCGTCGGCCGGTCCATTGTGGGTACTGTGTGTAAAGAAAGAAAAAGGGGCCCGTCAGCCACTCAGTCACTCCGTGAACGAGGTTCCATTTTTAGTTATTATGTCCAAAGGGGGCAGCCGTATAAAAAAATTGGTAGACGCAATGAAAATAAAGTTACTGACCACTCTGCGCGCCTCTTCATAAGAATCAATATCAAAATTCTGATATAGCGCGTCGATTTGGTTTGTCTTGCGCCATTCTTCCGTCGACTGGAACTGATCCAGCGCACCCTTCACGTCGAATCTACGCGCGCGAAGAAATCGGCTAATTTTGCAAACACGATCGGGAAAAAAAAAGTTAGATCTAGGTAAACCCAATTGCGTTTTCACTTCGAAGAAAATAGCTCTCATTGAGAAGACCCCACGGAACACACATCCCTCCCCTCCTTTCTCCCCTGGAACACGGAAACACTAATATGAGGGATGAATATATATATTAGGGTGGTAGTGCGTACAGTAATGTAGAATCATCATGGCTTGCGGGAGTTTCACCATGCGCTTCGGTATATAATTGTTCCTCTTTTAAGATGGACTTGAAAGCGTCTAGGGCTTCCGACTGTTGCGGGGATAGGTGATTGAGGAAACCCAATAGCGGATCGGGGCCCTCAGTGGCCTCTCCCTTGCTGGCTTTTGCAGCAGCGGCCTCGAACGACTCAGTTTTTTTCATAGGAGGATGCTCTTGAGATTGTGGACGCGACTTGGGATGGGAGTGCGAGCTTCTTCTCGAGCGCCGGCTTCGGTTTGATCGGTTGGTGGGGGTTCGTGTGAGGGTCATGGTCATCGTCGAGGTGAATAGGCTTGTATTATTGTATATTTATTTTCTTCTCTGTTTCTGTCTGTCTGTCTTCTTTCTCTTTTTTTGGTTTATATTTGGTCTGTTTTATTGGGTATATAATTCTAACGCTGCCGTTCTTCGACGCAGGGAGACACGGCGCAAACAACGTTCTTTCTTCTCAAGGGGTATCTCAGAACAAAACACGACGTAGGAAAAGACATGGAGGAATCTAATCTAGAAAAAGGAGAAGAAGGGGAAGAAGAAGAAAGAATCCGAAGGATCCAGCTGAAAGCAAGATCCCACGCAGTTGGCTGTTGGCGGCTCCTTCAGACGAGACCAGCGCTGAAAATGTATGTATGTTAAATAGTTAGCGCGGGAAGGATTGGTAATATTATTTAATAGTTATCGGAGTCGGCGGGTACGGACTTTACACGGGCTACGGCTGCCCAATTATTACCAGGAGCAAGATACGACTCATACGAGGAATGAGCCAGATGATACTTATGTTACAAGTGGCAAGCCTAACACCTTGGACAAGCGAGGTATGAAAAAAATGAAAGCATGCCAATAGGAATGTATGAAATAAAATAGACATGCATGCATACAACAAATCTACAAAGTAACAGGCAACAGCTGAAGTAACTACGGAGTAACGGAGTATAGTTAATAGAAAGATAGGTATTGCCTCTGTTGTTGAAATACTAGGTATGATTATTATTTTACATTTCTGTCCCCTTTGAAGGCGAAAAAATAAATCAAAGTGTTTGTATAATCCAAACATTTGTATGATTCACCGGTCCATCTGCCAAGTGTATTATTTGTATGGAAAACAAGATCAGATAAAAAACTATACGTCATACCTACCCCGAGTCATCAGAACCCTAATTTAAAGAAAAGCTCCTCCTCCCTTATATCTTTTTGACTTTTAGTCCTCCGTCAGATCCCCATATTCCCACATTCCCTTCCGCCCCTCCTTAGCCTCATCCTGCAGCTTCTCCAGATGCTTCAGCGTCTCAGTCGCAGACCGCTCCCACCCCTTAAGTTTGCGCGGGACCATCGCGAGACCCTCACTGATTACATCGGCATTAATGCTGTGCTCGAGACTCTTCGATTCGGACGGGTCGAGCAGAGTAACGTGCAATGTACCATCCGGTGCTGTGTAGTCGACATTCGCAACTAATTGGCGATCAAATGTTCGTTCGCCAAGGTATCCTACAGCATCGCGGAGGTACTCGGGAGACACGGGGAATTGTAGGAAGGACAGGACTGCGTCGGTGGCTTGGGGTCGAACCTTTTGCACGGAGAACTGGGGCTGCGTCAGCGGGCGGAGACGGGTCCAGGGCACGGTTTCGTAGTTGCCGTAGTCGATGTATATGACGTCCGCCTTCTTGCCTTCCCGATCGTTTCTCCGGATCTTCGCGCGGTACCACTCGTTGTCCTCCGTGAATTTGGCTGCGACCAGATCTCCGGCCTTGGGAGGGCCGCTGAGTGGAGTGTCATTGGCCTTGTTGAGGTGGAAGGTTCGGAACGCGCTCATCATCTCCGTGAGAGCTGTGGTGCCGGCGCCAATTTGCTGGATCTTTAACTTTCCGTCTTCGTCGATGTTCGTAACCATCACGTCGCGGTAGTCCTTCTCTCGCTGGGGCGCGTCTGCTCCACTGTCTGCGTCATTGGTTCCGCCTACAGTAGCACCCTCGTCCTCCTCCAGATCCTGGCTTGGATCCCAACTATGCCACAGGCCCTTTCGCGCCTCTTTCGCTTTCTTTTCTGCTGCGAACAGCTCCGCAGCGTGACCTCCCTGTTCGGCAGAGTAGGCATGGACGGTAGCAAGGCCTTCTTCAACGAGAATCTTGGCAAAGCTTTCTCTATTGATGTAAAGACTCCCAATGAAGCCACCGACCTTGTCGATTGTCTCGACGTCAATTTCAACGTCGCGTTGCATACATCTTCGATAGGCGAAGTCGTGCGCTTCTTGTCCAAAAGGCTCTCCACTCTCTCCAGGGTTTCTTGCGGATCTGGGTGCGCGGATACCGGCAAGGACCAGGGTGAGCTTAGCATTGTCTTTGGAGAGTATGATGGTGAATCGGGAGCCGGATTTTACGAAATCGACGACACCAGGCACCTTTCTCTGCCGTTGGAGAACAGAAGCCTGAATCTTAGCTTTTTGTACATTTTCGGAGTAGTCCTGAAGCGCTCTGGTTGTTGGGGGTTTGGGTGACCACATTCCCTTGCCCTCTTTCTGAGCTGCTTCTTCTGCCTGTAGTAGAGTATCGTACTCGGGAGACCGGTCGTCATCGTCACGACGATGCCGGATAACGGAAGCGTAGCCAGCCTGCACGAGGGCCAATGCCATGTTTGTATTTCCCGAAATGACCGTACCAACCTCCCGTTCCTCGTAACCGTCCGATGCAGGTCTTTTGCCGTCAATTTTTACTTTGACATGCTTGCCAATAAGCTTCTTGCGCATAAATTCCTTGGCTTCTGCGACGAAAGGCGCCTGCTTAGGGTCGGACAGCTTTGGTTGTCTGACACTGCTGAGGCTTACCCGCTTCTCATCCTTTCCAGTCTTCGTTCGCACGAAAATCGTATCTGCGCTAAACACTCGACTCACAACGTAATCCGTTTGGGCGGCACCAGCGCCGGCTTTGGGGCCAGTATGGCTCAGGAACAATCCCTTCCGCGCTTCCTTCGCGGCGGTTTCAGCCTGCCGTAGAATAGCCATATCCTTTCCGATCATAGTTGAGTGGTGGTCGGCGCACCTGGCCAGACCAGCGTCGAGAAGGAACTTCGCGATATTGCCATTGGGATGGAGGACGCTGGCAACGAGTTGATTTTGCAGTGTCAGACCAAGCAGCGAGATCTTGACCTTCCTCTGGAGTAGCCGTAGCTCCACGAACTGCTGAGCCTGTTCTCCAAGTGGTTCGCCCGGTTGTTCTGTGCCGTCTGCGTTCGTCCGTTTCGTAGCCGGAGCACGGATACCTGCAATGGCAACCAAAGTTTGAATATGTTTATGTGGGGCTACAAGCAGCCGGACCAGCAGGCGGTCGCCGCTAAGTACCCTCTCAACAACTGCATCAATTTGGTTGCCCTTCTCGCTCTCAATCAGTGCCTTTGGGTCTGGCACTTCGTGGGCTGTTTCGAGATCCCCGCTAGTCGACGCCCAGACGCCCTTGGATTCTGTCCGGGCACGGTTTTCAAGATCCCGCAGCTTGTCCAGCAGCGTCAAAGTATCCTCAGATTCTTCCCGCTTGCCCGCATCCTCGCGCACTTTGACCCATCCTTCCGCAACGCAGAGTTCAGGAAGCTCCTGGGTATTGGGAAGTTTCACGATGCCGTATTCTCGTTTTGTGGTGGGGACGGTGTAGAGAACCTGGAACTTAATGACCTTGCCTACGAGCAGTTCACGGAGGAATTCTCGAGATTGGAAGGCAAATGGCTGTTTGAGTGAGGTCAAATCAAAGCAGTATTCTTATGTTAGCGTAGATCTCCCTCAACGACAGAGTGGCAGGCCAATGAAAGGCCACACAGGGGCCTCCGGGCAAGGGGAAAATAGGAGGAATGGTTAATTTATAATTTACCTCATCGCCTTCTCTTCGTAGTCGCGGAGCGGAGACATAGGCCAAGCTCAATGTCCGTTCCTGGCTACGGTTGGTGACATGTGTCAAGATGAGGGTATCGCCAGACAGAATGGCCTTGACGCGGGCTTCCAGGAGAGACATGGTGATGGTCAACGGTGGAATTGACAGTAACGGGCTAGGGATGGAGGAACCAAACGGGTAGGAATATAGGAATAAGCAGTAGTTATAGTACACAGTAGTTATGGTGTGTTTGAGAGAATTGAATACTCGGCGAGCGGTGCAGTGGGAGTTGATGGGGGTTCGGCGCTGGAGCTAAGACGGCAGCAACTAGCAAAGGTTCAGCCACGGCCAGGGGATCCAGACCAGCAATCTACTGTCGAGGAGCCGAGCCATGGATGGCAGTATAATATTTATTTTCACTAGGGTTTCGAGATTGAGTTTACCGTATATGTAGTTACAGGAAAGGAAAAACTCAATATATATACACGTAGCTGCTACTATCAAGAGTGTAGTTAACTATCCGCAGGGAAGTTATCTTGGTTACCCAAGAATCAGAGTACACTGTCCAAAAATTAACTCTTGCTTGCTGGAACCAAGTTGAGCTGCTTGGATTGGTTTGAGCCAGCAAATAAACGCGACCGAAAGAAGCTCTGAGGAAGAAGAGATAAACTTCCAAGACTTGGTTGAGAGAAAACAGTTGGTTCGGGCCCAGAGGAGCGGTTCAGTGTCTTTGGTTCAACGTTTAACTTTATATATAATATGCTGAGGGGGGAGATATATTCCAACAGCCATTCTGCACACCGTTTCAAGAACAGACATCATCAAGGAGATGAGGTAAATCACGAAATACTGGAACCCTTCCAAAGAGCAAAGCTAGGAGGTAATTTTCATAGTGGGTGGTAAAGTTGAATGTGTCGGATATGGGAGTGAAGGGTCCACCTAGCTCAATGACCTTTATCCCCTAGACCCAGTAGTATAGCGTATAGCAAGCCAGCGGACACTCTTTAGGCTAGTTAGAGTCAGCAATCAAGAAGGGTTTCTGCGAGAAAATAGGTAAGCTTCGAACTCTGCGGTGGTAAGCCATTTATGGGTTGGGTGCAGGGTGCTATGAGATTGATTTCTGTCGTTGAAATATTTATACTGCTAATTAATTGACCGGCCTCGATTCAACAATATTCATGCAATCGTGTCTCTGTGCCTGTAAAGGTCGGTAAGGCTCTAGGCATCTGAACCTCCTCATGCTATGGTGCCTAACAATGTTAAATACCAAAGGTTGAAGATTTTGAAATGAGAGTCATATTGCTAGAGTGATGCGACATTTCCATAACCAAAGGTCATTCTACTATCGGATTTCCCTCCCCCAGCTTACACAGAAGGAAATAGGTACCTTAATAACTACATGGAACAGGACCTTGGTACTATCTCCTACATATCCGTTTATGAAAACTCCCACTAGACCTTGAACACCAAGCCAGTTTCAGGCTCGAGTTCACCAGAACATATCTTGTCCCACCCTTTGCCTACAGCATCCATTCCTTCTCCAACCTCCATCTTCAATCCAGGAACCCCTCCAGCATCAAGAAATTCGCCCCAGCATTTTGAGAATTCGTCTTCAAATTCCTTCTTACCTACCTTCTTCGCCGCCTCCGCAAAAACGTCCGACGCGTTGACTTGAACCATTCCAATAGCCATACTGCGTGATATCCTCTCAAGTACCTCTTCCTTCGTAGTTACCTTTGGCTCTGACCCGATACCGATAGGGAGGACGGTTTTAGCCAGTGGTTTCAATGCGGTGACCAAATCTGTGAAGCATGAGCCCCGGCCCCCAAAGTCACACACAATCACTTTAGTGTCTTTATCCAGGGTACCGGTGATGGCATCAGGGACGCGCCCAGGTATAATATCGCCATACAAGCAGACTAAGTCATAGAACCCAGTGACTTCCACGAATGCCTTGGACGCCTGGCTCGTGACAGCTATAACTTTCCGCGGCCGCGATCCCGCGGGCCGCGCAGACTTCAACTGGTGAGCGAACGTCGTTGCATTCTTCCCAGACGCAGCGAGCAGAATAACAACGGCATCTTTCATGTCCGCATGTTCCATTGTCCATGGCGGACGGGGAGTGGGACCGAGCTCCAAGGTCGATGGTGGAGCTAGATTGGCCTCGTCCCACGCAAAAACATAGCGGTTGAGCCTATGCGATACCGAGAAAGGAATCCTCAGCAGGGCGTCCCAACCCCGGCGCTCATCCGACAGGAGGGAGGCTTGACTTGGCGATAGAGTTAGGTACTCGTTGTATACGGGGAACTGCTTCGCCCTGGCAGGGCTAGATTCATGAAATTTGCCAGGTACGGTGGTGGACGGTGATAGTTCCAGATCGACGGGCAGCGTTCCGATGGGTAGATAGCCGTACACGAGGCTTCCGATCGGGAGATCGTCGCGGTTGCTCTCTTTCACGACCCCGTATCCCCACGCTGAGATGCGGCCGTATTTCTCCGCGTCTTTGAATTGCTCGGGAATCGAGGGAGGTAGAGGGTGGACGTCCCACCAACCAAAAAGATGCCCCGCTTTTGCGTAGGATACGTTGTTTGCTGTGAGAGAAAATATGTATGTCTTGACACGCACTGAGGATGGGGATAGTGGCGGGAGCGGCTCTGTATCAGGGATGGAGACGATGTGCTGCTGGGTGAAGTCCTGTTTGCACAAGACTTGAATGGTTGGAGTAGGCATGCTCACGAATGTATGTGCTATTTCGTATCAGGGTTTGTGTATTGGCGAATATGTTACTGCACACGTATAATCATATGAGCACGGCTGATACCCTCCAGAGAAGATGCATGAATTGCGAACATTAATATACTTCACGACCCCTCAGCTGGCAGCCATCCCATCCAGCATGGATATCCTAGATGGTAAGTATTAGTTACTAATTACTATCAGGCCTTCCACCAGAGTAGTAACTACGCTAAAGGAGGGGCCAAAAAGTTAAATATGGCAGCCTATACGGAGGGCGCTATCAAAAGAATTGCGCCGGCAAAAAGACAGCTAGACAGTGCCACAAATCTTGGCAGAAATTCACACTGTAATTTATACTGAATATTCAGTTCTTGATTATTCCATTCAACACACATGAAATAAGCCCTCCAATCTGCTTCTTTTTAACATGTAATCTGTCTGCCTGTCAATATGCTTTCTTTTTAATGTGTAATCTGCCTGCCAATCTCACCTCACAGTCAGATAAGTATTCTATTTCTTTATCTGCTCATGGCGTGTGGCACACTCACTAGAGGTGAGTGAGTAAGCAGCGGCACGAGTACTCCGTATAACTAACTTAGTTACTGTACATGGAAGATTGCGAGCATATCTGTCCAATTAGGAGTTGCCGGCGCCCAAAATGTCTATTATATACTCAGCTCATGACCCTTTAATAGTAAAACCACCTCACACTCGCTAGACGATGTTCAACCCTCATTCTCCATTCCCTAAATGTTAAACATCCGCATAAATGGTTTGGCGCGGTGGTACGGCGTCTCCACCACCCGTATTGGTGGGCATATCCTGAGGTTGTTGTGAATCAGACCATAAGCTATCCTCCTTATCTGGAGAGAAAGAACCATTGGTGAGAGAAAATGCCATACTTCGCGAGGGCCTCTGCTCCATCGAGCCCCAGGAATAAAAGGTGGAAAGCTTTTCTCGGTTGCGATTGCGATCGGAATAAGAAGAACAAGAAGTTTCAAGCTGAGATTCATCTGAGAGAATAAAGTTAGTTTGTGATTGGTGTTTTGTAATAGTAAGGGGTCAGTCATGGTGTTCTTCCCACCTTGGATATGATTACAGTTGATATCCAACGTTTTTGAAAAGTCGACGGGGCGGGTTGACGGAGAGTCTTAAGGGTTTTTTGAGCATGTTCAGCTGGGGTATTTTGAGTAACTATGCTCCGTATTCACGGGCCACACAGGTTTTGTTTTAAATATTTAGACCTGCAGGGTTTGCTAGCCACATATTTCATGCGTTTTCTCATTTCTCGGGAGACTTTGGACGAAAAAGAATAAATACTCAGGCAGGCAAAGGGACAATATGGATGCCCGGGTTAGTCAATGATGTGAACGCATCCGGTAGACGCGAACAAGATGAAATTTCTCAAAGAATTTATTTGCGACAAAAGGACTGCAAAATGTTCGTGGGAATCATCTGCTGTTGTCTTTTCCTTCGCTGTTAAGGACTCAAAGAAAGGGCCTCTGTCGAAGGCGGGATCTAGGATGTGCCGTGGATAGCAGTAGACCAGTTCTCCCCGGATCTCGTTCCTCGTTGCGCTTTGATACGTAGCATATCTGCAGTAAGTTTGGAGGCTCTTGCTTAAATCATTTTGGTATGACGATGCGCTGTAAATTCCGGCCCCTGGAGCTGCTGAGAATAGATGGGTCAATAATCCTTTGCTCATGGATACGGCGAGGGTTGCGTTGCAGTTACATTTACATGACTGCATCCTGTAGGAGACAATGGGGGTCGCTCGGTCCAACAGCCATTCTTCGTCTGCGGGTTTGAATATTTGCCATCCTGTATATGCTGATAATACACTGATCTGATTTGAAGAAAGGGAAGTCTGCACCAACGTGGTATTATTTGATATCCATAATGGGGTGTGATTTTATGGTGCAAATAGGGGTCCTATGAATGGACGGACAGAACTTTCCACCTTGTTCTTGCGGCCTCGCCCCGGGGGATTTCATATGAACATAATTGAGAGCAGTAAAGTGTGCCTATATCCAAAAGCTGTCAAGAATATTTTTGGAAGAAAAAGTGCCCAAGAAGGATATTAATGCAAACCAGAGGCTATCCGTAAAATTGACCCAAAGTATATGCGCCAGAACACACCATCATGCACCACCACAATGCTTTTCATATGTACGGAGTACACCGCCCATATATCCCCCCAACCAACATCGTCTGAGTGCACTACTTCTGCGCGAAACGGACATACCCCAAAAACCGTAGCTTCCACTTCGCGTAGCTAGGAGCCAGTAATGGAATAATGCCTATTTCCAAATAGGTACATTTAAATTATTCCCGGCGCATGGGGGAAGAGGGTGCATAATCCGCTTGAGAGTTTTTAGCTTGGACGAGTTGTATCGAAATGATATCCACAGCTAGCAAAAAAATCTCGAACCGAGGGTTGGGCTAGCTATGTGCTGCTCAACTGCATCCCGGGCCTGAAGCACAGAAGTTATTTTTTGTCTCTGCCGCAAGCACTTGTCATTGTTCAAAGTGATGAGTATCGTCAAACAGGAGTCCGTATGTATAAAAAATATCTTGCTATATAAACTGATAGTATGATGGTAGAGCGGAGACAGGAGGGTTTAGAACACGCAAGTTTTGAGAGGAGGGATTATAAGCCTCCGTGGATGGATACTGTTCTCCTTGGGTCCGTATATCAGTACTGCCCCTGTGAGCGGCAAATTCGTCTAAATGATATTCGTGACGAAGGGTTGGATCTTGTTTCCGTAGAAAAAGTAGGGGAAGGGTCAAACTGAGCATCCATATATGCCACTATTTGTTTAAGTCGGCGCGAGTCAAGGTTACATAAGTTGATTATTTTCTTGAGTATTTTGCGAACCTTCTGAGCGACTAGATATGTTTGTTCTAGCTCCAGGAGGGTCTGCACGCAGATGGCAAAATAAGTGTATTCGCTGGTGACGTCTGTAGTTTTTACCCTTTCTGCAATGTCTGAGATGAGAATGGTGCAAGCCATCTCAATAATGTGTAGGGCTATCCCATTTAGGGTGGTTGCATTACTATGGTAGACCCGATAGTCCGTCAGGTAGTTCGCGATTTTGATGGCATGCTGCACGCAGATATTTCGAAATTTGTCTGCAGTCTCTAGCTTTCGCGTGTCAACTTTCCCAACGCCAGCTGGAGGGCGATATAAGATAATGATAGCGGCACAATACTGCATACTAGGAATCACGGTTGAAAAAATGTTAGCTAAATATTGTTGCTTTCAATTTGGGTGACATTAGGGTTTGCATACTGCATGACTCCTATCGAAGGAGGTCCGTCTTTTCTATAATATAGCTGGGGGTCCAAACGGACGTACCACTGGTGAAGTCGTTCATCTAAACTATTGGTCTCCACCATCGCACGTTGATTTCTATTTCTATTGCCAGATTAGTTAAAAGTTACTTTGAACAAAGATTTAACTATAATGTAGCTGGGTTGTCATACAAGTGCTCACATATTAGCCCCACTAGCTCTAGAAGAGAGGCCCAGGAGCCAGCTAGGAGAGAGTGCAATGGTAAAGAAGCATTCTCCCCCGACGGTCGAGGGACGGTCACGTTTTCGTCGAGCGTCAAAAAAAACGAGCGCCCAAGATACAACCCCCAAAGTCTAGATGTACGATGCCACGCATTTCAGTATGACCCGAAAAACCGCAGATTGCAGGCTCGCCGCATACCTACCAAAAACAAAACAACCCCAGAAAGTAATCTGGCGCGCTTCTATGTCCATTTGTGGTATATTCTCGTTTGAACAGTCATGATGGAGACCCATCTCAATCGCAAGGCGACAAGCTGTGTTTGTCAGTGCCAAGCTCGTCATATCATTGGAAAATGCACAGTATATAACCGATAGTAAAAGTAACGATTGTATAGTCGTTATCCCCGGTTGTTTTCTTTCCGCTTCCAGTAATCTTGAAGCTTCAGCAAACAAGCACTGGTAATCGTTTATAGGTGGCGGCTGCTTGCCTCTGTAGGCCTTATCTGGCGGAAGAACCAAGGCACGTATTTCTGACCGAGGTGAGATTCTCGCTGCGCATGCCATGATGCAGTAGAGCAAAGTTTTGCTATAGAAGTTCGTTTTGCCTGCGGCCATATCGCCCTCGCTCCCTAGGCTCCAAGTGCTGACCAGGGCTCACCAGCTTCCTGTTCTTTTAGTGTCAGATGCAAACTTGAGGTTGGACCGCCATATTTTAGGCGACCATCCATATGATATCTACCATCGCAGAGATAAGCAATGACATTCTCCGGGTACGACTGAATGAGTGGCGATGGATGATAACTGGGAAATTGATTGAGCTCATATAGAGTCATAATCTCGCGTGCTTGTATGCGGCGACGGAGTTCACTTTCACGAAGAGACTTCTCGAGCTCTTCAATTCGACCGTGTAGCTCCCGGATATACCGCTTGGAAGATGGTCTAGAGGTCAAATGTTAGTTGTTTGTCCACAAATAAAGGCATGTCATAACCGTGTGAGCAAACCTTTTGCGTTCATCCATCTCAGGTCCCGGACATGGTATCCCCAGCCGTTTGCATTTCTTGCAGCCGCCATTTTCTGGTTGGCACTATGTAGGAAAATCATGTTAGCAAGCTTTGTTCATGTCAACTCCCAATAGCCATCGGGAATATGCCGCCCAATATTCAAAATTTATATGGTCTTTGCAGCAGACCTTAATTTTCTTTGCCCGGCAATTTAAACAGGCCAGAGTGAGAACCGAGCCCAACTTTGCCACTGCTGGGTCCGGCTCCGTTTCTTGGCTCTCTTGTAGCTGGAGGTGAGGATTGAGCTGAATTTCTGGCCAAGGTCTCTGTATTATACTGGACTGAACAGGCTGGGACCCAGAGGGTGGTGATGATGAAGTTGGGGGCGGCGGCGGCTGTACATGCTGACCTGGCGGCTGCGAACGAGCTCCTTGCTCCCACTTAAGGTTCTCATTGCTGCTGCTTTGCTGCATCAAGGTCGACGGGACCGAATCCTCCCCTGGCATGAACGGCGCGTACACTGGGTGGTAGAAGTTGGAGGGCTCCATCTCGGTCGTTGAGGCATGACCTAACAACGACTTCAACGACCACCGTGGTTGGTTATCGACTAGGAGAAATGACCAGGATTCAGACGTTGGAAGGAAATTGGGCCTCCAGACGCAGCTGGAGAGCAACCATCAGGCCAACGCTGCGCCAATGTGCTCGGGACTCCAATTCTATAAGCCTTTTTTTCTTTTTTTTTTTTTTTTTTTTTAAAAAAAAAAAAAGGTTGCGTGGCGAATCTTGAAGCGCGCTGATCTCCAAGCCGCCAGATCAATAATCCGCAACGGATTGTCTCTCAAGCAGTCATCCCTATGTATGTCCGTAGCTGGACTCCTTTGAATGGGCTTAAGTTATGGGCTCATGTCTCGGTAGACGGGATGCAACTAGGCCAGGTAAATACGGCACAAGTGCTTGAAGCTGGCCACTGTTTTATGCAAGGGAATGACTAATACATCTGCAGCTAGTTTACGGAATAACTAGTTAACCATGTCGGCTATCCAACATCTGTCTCCATGGGATTGGTTTGGATCGGTTTGTCATCGTTCTGCTTCTTCCCAACAGACCCTGTTGTTGCGAACGCTTCAGGCACCTGTTCACGTTCAGATGAAAGACTATCAAACCTCCAAGTCATTTTACATTGTCCCACTGTTCCCGAATGGAATGGCGGTAGGGGGTAGTGCTGTTGGCGGGAGCAAATCCAGCTAGCTCTAGCCAGTGAGAATATTATTCTACTCCTATCTAACATGAGTTCCACGGGTCTATTGATAGTCTACAGACTCTGGAGTCCCAATGCTTTACAGTTTAAATTCCTACGCCTTGCTCTCTGCTGAAGTTTACTGCTTTCTTTTTAAGCTTCCCTGTGGGGAATGATATAAGATGTTTGAGGCTCCAGGGCCGGACACTTTAACGACACTCGAAATACCGTGCCCAGCATAAAGGCGAGGGATCTAAACGATGTAAAAAGGCGCTCGCCATCGGCTTCAATCCCTCCAAAATCCTTCGAGAGCGATAGACATAACTACGGTGTATATCCTCGTTGATCAATGAATATCTGACCATCCAGGTGTTGTTAACGGCCGTTGCGACGTATCAACCGGTTATACCTCAAGTACCATTTTGCTTCGACTCTGTGTTACCGGGATGAAGAATGAGTTATTGTCAGTTGATGCATCCCAACCGTTCTGTTTAAGCGATCACATTTCAGCCACGTCGATCTTACCACACAATATATGTCAACACTTGGCCTGTATTTAACATCCTGCAAGAACTCATCATAAGCTTCACTTGCATATGAGTATAATGAACCAAAGCCAGGCACGCCTGGGTGTATTTAGTCGTCGAGGTTGCCAAGTTTTCCCCTATACTTGCGTCAGAGGAGCAAGAAGTTGGTTTATCCTCTTTAGTTCAGGTGGTATGTATTGCAATCCTTGACGCCGCACACCGCGTGTTGAATTACCAAGGGGGATGGTGCTGGGTACTGGCATCCACTCGCTGCATGTATAGTACATAATCACCTAGATCTACACCGAAATAATAAGGGCCCAGTCATCTAGCAGATCTCAAAGGCGGAATTCACAGAATACGACGGCAATATTAGCTCCGTTCCCCCCTTTGCTGCTATTTCAGGCCAGTGCACGCACGGCATCAGTATAGCAGTTCCTCAATATGGCCAATGAAAGAATGGAGTGGCTTATTCTTGGGGAATCGTGACGTTTTTCATCAAAACCATCCAGCCTTTTGTCACCGGAATTACAACCCGATCTTTCTCAAAGCTTTGATTTTTTCTTTAACATGTTTTCTGAACCAACAGATGGCGAGCTGAATCATTTCACTAAATACCTCCGTTGCAAGCTTCCCAGACCTTGGCCTTCGTGCACAGATGCCTTAAGGTCTTCTCCTTGGCCAGGATGGCGAAAGGAATGTCTTAATTTACTTAAGCGTTGGATGTGCCCTCAAGAGCGTGTTGGATGGGACACGATTGTTAAACGTGTGAACTATGTAGTCTATCCATGCCGCCAAAAAAGGAGCTTACAGGTTTCACCTCCACCAACCCCATGACTTTCGACAGCTAACTTGGATATGCATACCTAACACTTTCCTCTCTCTTTCAATTTACCTTTTCATCTTCCCCATATGCGGTATATGGATGTGCAACTAGAGCGGCCCCAGCCACCACTTGAGTCTATAGAACGTCAACCAACTACCCTCAAATTCTCGTCGAGGGCAGCCCACACTATCAACCACCTCAAGAGCAGACAACACAGCTCCCCCCATCTTTCTCTCCCACCTCCCACATAAGTCGACATAGACAGGCCGCTCTGCAGATCCCGAACAAATATAAGCGCAGTGTACCACCCTTACGTACGTGCAGGACATACGATTATATTCCACCTATGTGTACATGTACTCCGTGCTCGTACGTACAATCATCACGCATCAAATCCACCAGCTCTACCGCGTTCCTCATGACGGTATAAATCACATATCCTGCACTTCCACCCCCTCCCCTCCTTTTCAGGAAACCGGGAGGGTGAAGCCGCGTGTGATAATTTTCTCTGAAGGAATCCTGGGTACAAGGTTTCTCGAAGCAATTTGAAATGGGTTTGGAGATTGACATGAAGCTGTTTTTCTACCTGAGGTGTCTCACCAGCCGAGCACACTACTCTACGTGAAAAGTACGAGTATTGTAGCCATTCAACTGATATTTTACTATACAGCTGAGAGACTGAATTACTTGGGAACTCAGTATTGACAATTCAAGTAGGTCGACCCTCTTGGCTTTTCTCCTTGCTTAAGAAATATATAATACTCGTTTCTCCTTCACAAAGTAAATATGTGGTGTGGTATAATATTTGTTTTTTCTACATTCCGGAAACACCAGCCCATTAATTTTTTAATACCACTTTTCATTTTCTGCGGGGTTGACCTAGGATTCATTTATGCAGTGATGCCAATAACACCTGTGAATAAAGGAAAGATACGTTAGTAAATACAACGGCATCATGCCCCAAACGAGGACCCGAAATATGGGCAATACATACCGCACGCGGGGCGGGGACCAGCATTGCCGGTCTTCTTGGACTCTTCATTGCCACCCTGTCCAAGGTCATCAGTGCCAGCATGGATGACGACGGTACGCTGTTTCATTCAAAGAGTTCCCTAGTTAGTAATCACCAAAATCTCTAGAAAATAGAAAAACGAAGTCAAGGGGGAAGGGGGAAGGGGGGGGTGGGCTTACTCCGAGAACGCTCTGCTCACCGATGAGCTTGACCAGTGGGTCCTCGAATCTTCCAATGGCATTGCCTTCTGCGTCAGTGGTGATGTTGCCTAGGTCTCCGACGTGGCGCTCGGTATCGGTGGGGGAACCGTGAGTTTTGCCGAAGGGGTTGACTGTTGTGATGGAACAGGAGGTTACTCTATGAACGTGGGTATATATGTGGATAATGGGATATTTTTAGATGTCAATTAATTGGTGGGGTAAAGGACATACAGTGGGGGCCGGCAGAGGTGCAGCCATTGGTATTGTCTCCGAACTGGTGGATGTGGAAGCCACGCTCGGCATTTGGGTCATTGCCGGTAATAGTGTATGAAATGACGGTGTTGGATGACTCAGAAGCCTGCTCGAAGGTGACGGTACCCTTGACATTGGAGTCACCACGGAGAATAGCGACTGCAGGAAAAGACCGGGGAGCGGTAGGGGTTAGCTCAGTTGTTGTCACGAATGTATCTAAAGGTTGTTTATGAAGGTTGAGTGTAGAGCCATCACGGGAGCAGGGTAGAGCTTGGAAATGTGCTCATGGCTTCGGATGGTCACTCCACAGCCGGACAAGATTCCAATCAATCTACTGTAGGTTCTCCCATTGGGCATTTCAAGAACCCGAGGACCTTGGGTGAAAGTGCGCAAGGCTGGTTGGTAGGTTGATCCCGCACACTCTTGAGGCATCCTCAGTAGATCATCAGATGGGATGGCGGGGCAAAGGCCGGGATAGGAGTTCTAAGAAATAAACAAGCTTACCGGCCTTGACCATTTTGACGGTATTGGATATTACTTGTTAAAAGGGCGGATACAACAAGTGAGATGTTGGGTGGAGATGACTTCTGGGGGATGAACTGCAATTTAAAGGAGAAGAAGAGGATGAGGACGAGGAAGACAAGAAAAGAATCCGGGTAGAAGTAATATTCCTGTCGCCGATTGTCATTGTCATTTCCTGTTCGGGGGCGAGGAGGGGCATGCTGACTAACCCACCCCGCCATCGACGGGCCGAGGGTCCGTGACGTCATCTCACGTGACCACAACGCCGGTCCGAGCTTCAGGCCTTTCCTCTTCCGGGTATCAATAGAGGGAAGGTAAAGACAACGACTTCTTTTTAAAAGGACAAGGAGACATACATCTATATCTAAACGTACATCTTTACAACTTTACATCTTCTCGATTAGTCTCCGCTATGCTGGCTATATATGTTCATTTCAAACTCGAGATAAGACTGCAGCAGTGTCACTCGCCCGCTCTCATTCGCTACATACAGGATACTCATGAAGTAGATATCTATATCTCTCTATACAGAGTAGTTACTACCTATTCCAAAAGATGATCTTCTCTTATCTGGAGGGGTGCTCCATATAAAGTCTCCCACCCGAGTCAAACTCCCCGGATTATGCTTCCGTGAAGAAGCAAAGGATTATGCTCATTGCTCCTGCTCCACAGGTGGTTGCTGCTGTAACGTAGGCGCTGCCTAGGCCTCAGGTGACGGAAGGCAATACTGTCGAGACGACAGACGGATCCTCCGTATCAATCAGGGCTGAGATTTGCAAAGATTCAGCAAGCGGGAATACATGTAGCCATGTTGCTAAGTATGTCTTTCATGTTGACAGAGAGATCTTGCTGAGCTTGTTGGACATCATGGACGGAAAATCCCGGTTCTGACGGAGCAAAGAACCGGATTGTTAATTGTTATCGTCAAACCAGGATCACATATTGTCTTGTCCAGCCTTGACTATGAAGCCTGCTGTGTTTTCTTCCTTCTTCAAAACCTACATCTGGCGAGCCGAGAATTTTCCCGTCCATTCAAGCTCTCCCACTTGTGCCCATGGGACCTTTCTCAACGGCTAGGCACTTTTGTCATCCCCCACCCTGCGGAGGGCAGGTCAACTCAGCGTACCATGAGTTTGAGAGATTCAAAATATCGAAACTCCAAGTGGAAGTGAAAGGGAAATTCATCCAGTGCCTTTGTGATCTGCACACCCCACCACTAGTTGATACCTGAATTTCAATGGTGTCGACGGATTTACCACACGCCAGATCTGATAAACTTCGACTGAGGACATGGACTCAGCGTTTAAAATCAACGATAAATGGTGCGGCTCTTTCTTTACTAGGGACGACCATCGAGCCATTCCACGTTGTTGCCGCTAGCTTGGGCAAGTCGTGCCAAATCTCCGCGTTACGCTAGTTTCTTTTTTTGTTGATACCAACAGGCCAAGAATGGGCGTGTAACAGGAGCGAATCATGCTTTGAGACGTCCAAGTTCTCCCGCTTCAAGACACAAAAAAAAAAAAAAAAAAAAAAAAAAAAAAAAAAAAAAAAAAAAAAAAAAATTTGAAACTATGTTAAAAAGTTACAATTATTAATAGACAAAATGATGGTCTAACATGAAACAAAACGAACAATCCACCTTCCCTAGCTGGAGGACAAAAGTGACAAAACTAGCGCAATACCAGCCCCGCGAGATTTCCAGCCATCTGAGCGAGATATTCTCGCAGCATTTTGGGGGAATTTGAAACAATAATTATCAACATCCAATATAGAACCCACGAGTGCTCTCAGGATCCATTTGGCGCCCTGCAGAGCTAAACACAGTCAAGCAGGCAGTTTTACTGGCCGTTGATGACCGCATTTTGCAGAAAAAGAACAATAGGATATTCCTTCCTATTGTTCTCAGCGGGGTTAGTGGCGTTCACGATTGGCTGATTCCCGATCCATGACCTCGCAGTCGCGCTGGATAGGCGAAATTTGGAAACTGATGCAACGGCTGAGGCCAACCCAGCCGCCAATTACCCACGCATAAACCCCAGCAAAGAATTTTGCAACCCTACCTCTTATTTAATCAGAGTTCGCTAGCCACTTTATTTTGACGCTTATCAAGGCACGATTTGACTCCATCTATTGTTCCCCGTGGTTCATCACCCTAAAGAGCTACCCTGAACCTAGAGTATTACTCTCTTGTCAACATATTCTTTGATACCTTTGCCTTTAAAATGAGTGATACAGGTTCTTCTCAGCTTTCAGACTGGGAGGAAGACCTGCCAGACAATGTTCATTTTCGCCTTCCAGGCTTCACGCTCCCGCTGAATTGGGAGCCTACCCCGACGAGCACCCCACTCACAACCCCGCGTGCTAGCATAGACGGACGGACGCCTAGGCTTCATATCCTTCACATTCAGGGCATACAGAGAGGCCGTTTCCCAAATGCTTTGAACTATCAAGATGCGCTCGATGATAATTTGAGGTAATCTCATGGTTCCCGGTTTGCGGTTACTAGGTATTGATTTGGCAGATACCCAGCCCTGACGACTCGAGAAAACACGATGGTCCAGATCATGAACGAAATCACGGATAAACCTAACTGGAATGTGAAGGTTGGAACTATATATCCCTTAAGTTATGCGGGCATTGCCCTACTTCCTGTCTGGTTATTTCATTATATCACTTCTGGCCCCCCCCTTCTCTCTCTTCCCCCCCCCCAAAAACCCTACAATCCATTCTACGACAACCTCACCATAGGTAGCAAGTGCCTATCCACCACAATCATATCATTTACTAATCTTTACAATAGGTTTCTGATGATACCATCGTGGAGAAGTGGCGGAAGGAAATGTTAACGGGAAACTATGGTTTCTCGGAATCTATGGCAAAATGGGTTATCGATGAGCTCCGCTACAAAACAAGGATTTATCATGAATATGGGCTTGTGGACGTATTTAACGGCGGAGTAGTCAAATCAGACACTGCTGTTCCGGGATCAATCGACCAGGAGTTGAGAAATGGGGTTTCGAAACTAGAAGATGTGCCTGAGAACCTCAAAGATTACCACCCTTCCACGAATGAACAGATTCTGAATTTAGTGAACCCATCGCTCTTTCCCCTTGTCTATGGCCGAACGCGTATCCTTGGCGAGAAGCTCTTAGGGTTGGGCGACTGCATCGCCAGCTGCGGCCTTGGAGAAACACTTCCAGTGCCGCGAGACAAATACACCGTGTTTGATGAAAAGCTAGATAACCACTCCGGTTGGGCGGGTAATTTTTGGAAAGACAAGATATACAGCCAAAAATTCCAATGGCTACCTTGCAATGTCGAGTTCCTTGACAAGAAGGGCTCTTACCTACCTCTAGATCCGAAGGACCCTTCAAAAGTTGCTGCGGCGTCTCTTGCTCCGCCATGTCGGATAACAAGCTATATCAACAACCTCCATCCCCACAAACATCGAGATCTATACGAAACCATCGAGAAGGTGATATCCCGCGCAATTCCCCTTTGGAATAGAACCCTATCTTCTCTAAGTGCGGAATATACTCGACGTATTAACTACGATATATGCGTTCGGGAAAGTTCGCTTTCTCCGCCCCGAGAAGGAGAAAATGGATCTAGAAAACAGAAACGTTCAGTGACCAAATCTGGATATGTATTACCAGAGCCTAGAAAGTTCGAACCTACGATGACGCCGTCGCTGTCACCAGGTTCCGTGGACTTAAAGAAACAATACCGCAAGTCTGGCTTTCAAGTGATTGTGAAACTTGCAAATATCCACCTAACCCCTGAAAAACCTAAATATAACGGCGGTGTCTGGCATGTCGAAGGCCAACTTGTAAGTAACAAAGCGTACTCCCAACTCAGTGCATCCTGCATATTTAAAACGAACAGCTCCATTTTCTAACAAACCGCCAGAATGAACACATATGCGCAACAGCGCTCTACCACTACGACAATCACAACATTACCAACGGCCACATAGCCTTCCGCCAACAATGCGCCACAAACCAAAAAATCAAAAATAGCCGCGGCGAAGACCCAGACTTCCTCCCCGAAATCTTCGGCAAACACACCCTATCCTCCGCAACCCAAATCCCCGGTAGCGTCGAGTGCTCCCAGGGCCGCCTCCTCACGTTCCCCAATACCCTCCAGCACCGCCTCGAACCCTTCGAGCTAGCCGATAAGTCCAAGCCAGGCCACCGCAAGGTCCTAACCCTCTTCCTCGTCGACCCACATATCCGCATAATCTCGACGGCAAACGTGCCCCCACAGCGCCGTGACTGGTGGACGGAGCACATCGAGTCAACGGGGGCGCTGAAGAAGTTGCCCAAGGAGTTGGTGGATATGATTTTAGGCAGTGGCAACAAGGCGGATTTCCCGTTTAGCATGGAGGAAGCGAAGCGGTTGAGAGTGGAGTTGATGGCGGAGAGGACGGCGAGGGTTACGGAGCAGGATAGGCATTTTAGGCATAGGGAGTTTTCGCTTTGCGAGAATTAAACACTAGGTACTGACGGGGTCACGGTGGGCGGGGTGAGGGTGTGTCGTGATTGGGTGATTTCCTGGTTTGATATGATATTTTTTCATACTTTGTTGAGTCAAGGGTTTTTTCTATTTTTTCTATGTTTGAGCGATTGATAATGTCTTTTTTTCTTTTGCTTGTGCTTTTTCTGTTCTTCACAATTTCCTTCCTATTCAGGGGAGCACTGCTATATCTTTTTGTGGTTACCGTATGTGAAATTCCGGGTTACACCTGGGGATCACTGCAAAGCCGGTTTGCGGAACGGGGGGGAAGAGATGGGTGGCTACGCGGACAGTTTACTAGCTAGAGGTTAGAGAAGAGATTTATAACACCAACACTTTTGCAAATTATTATCTATCCTTATTATCCCCAAGACGGTGCGAATGAGCTGACAATGACGACATCCACACCCCACCTACTGCGTATCTAATACATACATGCACAATACACCCCCCCTTTCCCACTCTTCCAAGTTCCTCTCCGCTGCTCCCTCCGCAACCCATATCTATCCTCCAACTTTAATGTACTGTAACTAATATGTATGGGCAAGCCTAATGCGTAAATACTTCTTGTAACGAATCTATTTCCACTCGTATATTACCTACAGATGGGGGCTTGTTTTTAAGGGAAAATCCGTACCGAGACCTAGGGGCACGGAGATATTTTCTACTTCATACGTATTATTTAGCTGTAGAAAAGAAGAAGAGGCTTTTAGAATTCGAGCCCACACCACGGACTAAGATATGCCATTCTTATCTCATGGATGTAAAATAAAAGGAATACAAAAAATAACCTAAAGAGTTCATTCATAAAGGGAGAAGAAACGTTTTTTCTTTTCTTTTTTGTCATTTTGCAGGTATCAATTTTGCCTTGATATATGAGAAAAGAAAGGAGAGAGAAAGAAAAGAAAACAGGAGGGAGTCAAAAGCTCAGATCTACGAGCCAATCTTCTCTTTGAGGATGTTCTTGAGGGTAACTGCGTCAGCAGCGAACTTGGAGATACCCTCCCGCAGCTTCTCGACGGCCATTTGGTCCTCGTTGAAGTCGAAGCGGAAGAGCGCCTCGTCGTTCAGGTATTCGCGCTTGGGGATATCGAGGGTAGCAGCGGTGGCGGAGTCCAGCTTCTTGGGGACGGCAGCGGTGGAGTTGTAGAGTTCTTCGAGGAGGTTGGGCTGCGTTGGGGAAATGTGTTAGTTTAGGCCCAACTTACTCCTAAGGGGAAAAAAAGGGGGATGGGGGGATATATATAAAACGTACCGAGATGGTCAGGTAGTCGCATCCGGCCAATTCAGTGATTTCGCCGATATTCCGGAAGGAGGCGCCCATGACAATGGTCTTGTAGCCGTGCTTCTTGTAGTAGTTGAAGATGCTCTGCACGCTCTTAACGCCAGGGTCTTCCTCGGGGGTGAAGTCCTTCTTCATGGCTGCTTTGAACCAGTCGAGGATGCGGCCGACGAAGGGGGAGATGAGATATGCGCCAGCTTCAGCTGCAGCAATGGCCTGGACAAGCGAGAACATTAATGTCAGGTTGCAGTTGATGCCGTGCTGTGACTGAAGAATGTGAGCAGCCTGGATGCCCTCCCATGTCGAAGCGATTTTGATCAACACGCGCTCCTTAGGGATGCCAACGGATTTGTAAAGCTATTGCAAAAGGGCGGTTGAGTTAGTTTTTTTCTTTCTTTCTCTTTTTCTCCTCTTTCGCGATCTAGCTTCTTACAACAACGGATTGGCATCGAAACATACCTCGATGATGTTAAGAGCCTTATTGACGGAGGCTTTGGTATCGAAGGAGAAGCGGGCATCGACTTCAGTTGAAACTTTGCCGGGGATGATCTGCAGGATCTCTTTGCCAAACTCGACCAAAAGACGGTCGAGAGTAGCATCGACCTTCTCATCGAGTGTCTTGCCCTATAGTTTTGTTTTTGCCACCCAGGTCAGCTTTGGAGAAGCTCCAGATATATATATATATATATACATGCAGAGAAACCACAACATCAGAACTAGGTCTATCATATCTATTATATGATGGTTGCGCACATTTTCCTTTCCGTAGGCAACTGCGGAGTCGATCAACTTGGCATATTCTGGTTTCTTCGAAGCGGCGAGGATCAATGAAGGGTTGGTGGTGGCATCTTGCGGCTTATATTTACCGATGGCTGTTGCGAATTTGTCAGAGAACAGTCCGTATAGTGCAAATGTAGAAGACGTAAACGAGACATAGAACGGTAAGACATACTTGCAAAGTCCCCTAAAAAATTCAAAGGGTTCTATGTTAGCTAGAAATTCCATAGCTTTAAGAGCTAGGGGGTTTGCCGGGAATTGATATTCGAGCGAGGGATGGCATACCAGAATCGCAGACCACGGTCTAACACGGGCAATGTGTCGAAGACAGAGTCAGTTCCTAAGTTCTTCTCATTCTCCCATCCATTCCTCCTATGAGACAAAACTGGAGCGGCAAGGGGTCACTTACAGTGCCAGTGGCTTTTAATTGATCGAGAGCGGACGACATGACGGGATAAAGGATTGTGCGCAGTAACTTAGTGTAGTAGTAGAATCTACGAAAGCGGCGAGGGTGCGCAGTTGAGAGGATATTCTAGCTGATCTTCTAAGCCAGTTAAAAGAAGCAAGAAAGAGTAGATTGTACGTTGTGAGATTGTTGTATATGAGGGAGCAAAGAAGAGAAGAAAGATAATAAATACAATGGATGGACTGGAAAATGGTGGGGCAAGAATAATGGAAGGGGGGGGGTACCAGCGACCTGTGGCTGCTGCGGTGCTTGGCGGGGAGAACAGGTATCAGATACAACGACTGCTCAGACGCCACTGAAAAACTAAAACCTGCCTCAGCGTTGACTAATCAACTGGCATAATAATAATACATACATATTAATATTCTGCAATTGATACTCGTATATGTACATGTTAACAGGGAGTTTCTCTTCGATCTCTTGTGTATCATCAATCATGCCCACCTCACCTACAATGCCAGTGGCAAAGCTCGGGTCCATCTAGATACTGATTTCGCGCTTTTGGGCGCTATCCCGGGCTACTGTGCTCCGACCAGGACGGTACGGGACTGTGTGGCTTCAATGTTCACATTAAGAGAACTCGAAAACAAAATAAAAAGGCAAAAAAAGAAGGGCAGTCTTCAGCCCTGAGTAACTTCAGTCAACGAGAGCTTATATACAATGACAAATCATGACCGGCACTGCATCCAAGACGCTGCTGCTTCTGCACCATCTTCAGCAGAATATATAGTTTTTGTTAACTAGTCACAGGTGGTGTTCTTCCAGCAAGAATTTTTCCCTTTGGCCCCGGTTTTGTTACATCATTGCACAGGAAGAAAAATGGATCCCCGTTGCATTAAACTCAGATCTTGATGTAGCGGTACAGATAGTACCAAAGCACTAAAGCAAGCCGGCTTTGAGAGCAAGTGGTGAACAAAACACCGCTCGGCGCTCGTCATTTTCTGCACTGCACTGCACAGATACGGTGGAGCGCGGTGGAGCGCGCCGGAGCGCAGGAAGGACAACAACCCGGCTGTTGTTTAGCATATTGCTTCCGGCAACCAGAGCTGTATATAGATATGTACAGTACCGTATAGTATATTCATCCATTCGTGGCCTGCCAACGAGGTTTCTTTTTTATCTACAAAATATTTTTTACCCGACGCGCAACAGCTCGAGAGAGGAAGAAAAGCCAAAAAGCAGAATGATAAAAAGAAAAGTAACGCAAAAGACGGAGAAATCGGGCATACATACATAGCATGGCGTGTCGTGGCATACATAATATAGCATCGCATCTTTGGTCGAACCGTTATATACATATAAGAAAAAAAGCGTTCCCGTCATGAAATCATAATCCTGCTCGATCCACATGTCAGGGGCGGGTAGGTAGGTCCATCTAGTGGATCTTGGACCAAAGCGATCTAGATATAAATATCCATATTTAATGGCGCTGCACACAGTCCCATTCATACTATTTGAAGGGAGCAAGAAAAAATGACAAATTAATAAATTGCACCCCGAGCCAAATACATAGAACAACGGAACCAAGAAAGCGGTGGAATGGGGAAAGACAAAGGGGGAACTTACAACTCGTCCAGCCTCGTCACCGGTATAAACAGACTGCGCCAACGGTAAAATACAGCTAATACCCGCAGAAGCATTTCTGGCCCCGTCTCCGCGGGTGTTGTCCACATGGTGTAACTGGCGGATTAGATCGAGTTCGAATCGGCCATTCCGGATTGTTTTACTCCAGATCTATCAGGGTGGTTAGCCTTTTACGGATACCACACACAAAAAATTTTTTTAGAAAGAAAGAAAGAAAACTTACATTAACGACTCCGCGCTTGTGACCTGTAAATAATAGCTCCCGTGCTAGCCATTCGTTACTGACCCCTTCGTAGAAAGCACAGGACAATATGCAATCATCAGCCTGTTCGCACACCGCTTGATCAAGAAGCAATGCTCCGTTTAGTGTATAGAGGCTGATACGATTTCCATGGCAGACGAGTATATTCCCGGTGGCATCGTTGATGCGTGCACACTATTTCGCGTCCGCGTGATCGGATTAATAAAAATAACTCGAAAAAAAAAACTCGAAAAAAAAGGGATGTGTAGATTTGGCTGAATATACAGAAAACTTACATCGACAGGTCCTTGATTCGGTAACGATCGGACAAATTCTAGGCGATTTAGATCCCATAGCATTATTTTTCCATCCTTGGAGGCGGACAGGACTGTGCTGAAGGATCTTGAAACCGCAAGAGTCGTGACCAACGACCGGTGTCCAAATAGTGTAGCTTTCGGATGAAGATCTGCCGACTTGGATGTCGATGTAAACGACCACACCGAGACTGTACAATCCGTCCCGGAGGTGATTAGGGTCTGAGAATCTGCAAATAAGGCACCAGACAGTTGACCTATATGGAGGTGCTCGAAATGGCCGATCAACTTGAAACAAATAGCCAAATTAGCCCCCAGCAATGCGCCAACGGGACAACATTCCCAAATACGTATACATACCTTCCTACTATCAGCGGCATAGAATCTAACACTGCCATCAGAGAAACCCCACTCAATGTACTTGTCATAATTCGGCGGAATATTGAGTCTGAACGCGGCCGAACAGAGTAGTCGATCTTGTTTCCATGAGAATAATAGCGATGATACTCGTTCTTGGCTATCTAAAAAATTTGTTAGTCGCATTGTAACATTGTTTTAGACGCTTCATCGGCTTACCGAGCAATGTCATAGGTAAGCGAGTTAGGGACTCTGCCGCCGTATCCAACCGTTTCTGCTTCTGGGCTACCTCTTCTCTCTGTGGGTGGGATTTTTGGAATGCCTGGTGTGGAGTCTGTCCAAAATTATGGATAATGCCTATCGTAGCTAAGCGCTCGACGGGATCGTCGATGGTGTCCAGATCTTTAGCACCTTGATAGGACAGATGGTGAAACACATTCACTGCCTCCAAAGCTGCTTCTCCTTTCTGCTTATTGCCGAATACTAGATCAATCCATTGAGGGAGGTTTTTCGAGACGTACGGGCTCTCGAGGGCTTCCCGATGTTTGGCAATAAATATTTTTGGATCTCCTTTAGCCCAAGGAGGTAACTCGACATTATCTATCGATTGAGATACGTTTTGTCTGAGCCCAAAATCATATTTGTTCGTATTTACCAGGAATTCGGGCAGATAGAAAAATTCGGGGATCAATTCCCTCACATCCGTCATGGTAGTTTTGGATGCGGATTCCCATGCCTTGGGGATTGAATAAAATAATCGATCAGCATGGTCAAATGTTCCTCCTTGCAACAGAAGGTATGACTTGACAAATGGCTGAAGGCGGATGAGGTATGAGGTCACAATCATAGCTGAAGAATAGTGTGTCCCATAATGAAACGGAGGTGCATTATGGTCGCCCATCTCGGCAAAGGATTGGTATCGGCTTCTATATTCTGCTTCCCGATCTGGAGTTTGGCATCCCATCGGTTTTGACAAATCACGGAAAGTCTTAGGGTTTGCCAGATCTAGCTCATCGCTTGTATAATCGGCAAGCACCCATGGGAATACGGGGTATTGTGTCAGGTCATTGAACGTCCGTCCGGCCATCGTATTAACAAACATCAGGTAATGAAAATTAGACATTTCACCCTTGATCCATTTTCGAGTAGCTGGGTTGGTAGGATTTTGGTTAAACACGTTAGCAATTTTCGCCCTGAAGAACTGAGGATTCTCCTCCTGATTGCGCAAAGCTTCGAATCTCCACATTTCTTCGCTCTGCGAGGCGTTTCCGGATCCGCTTATTTGAGGGGCGCAAGACGAGAGAAGTGAGGATAACTCATCCCGAAGCGTGCGGGAGACCATTGTGAGCAAATAGCTTCGACCGTCGGCAAAAAATATTTCCAGTGCAACATCGCGGAATAAAAATCGCCGTTTCGATACACTAATTACCTGGGACCATTTCCAGCTCCTCGTTCCATGTTCTCCGTTATTCACTCGTCGATCATCAGATTCGCGGCCAGAAATCATGCGGACATAGGGGTCTCGTTCTTCAGGAGACGCTTGCCAAACATTGACGACTTCGCCATCGGCCCGTTGGAAGAAGTTATCCAGAATATAGACAGAATCTTTCCCGAGGATCAAAAGTCCCTCACACGCTTCCAGCCCCACAATTCTAGAGACATTGCAAACATGCTGAACTTGATCTCCCCGATGAAGACTTCTCATGACCTTCCTATTCTTGTCCTCATAGTCATCCTGCCCATCCATAGGGTCTTCAATCATTTCAAAGCTTTCTTCAAGGCCAGATCTGTCATCAGGATCGCTGTTCTGCACCTCAGCTGGGGGTTCAACTTGATTTTCAGATTCGGAGGGCTCAGTAGCCATTGTAGTAGGTGTAACGCCCAGGAGGTCCTTTCCAATAGCACGAATTCGTCTGTCCAGTTTAATATTAGGAGGCTCATGAGACGTTCTGCGCTTTGGTTGGTAGTTTTGCGCTCCAGCTGTGTCGTCCGGAGTTATTCGCAGTCTCATCCTATCCCTGCCTTCAGTTTGGTCAAGACGCCATTTCGTTTCACTGGTTCCTGCCAGAATCCCGTTATCTCGCCTCAAGTCACGGTACATTTTGGCGAAAGCTGAAGATAAAAAAGAGAAATTGTCCTGCTGATCTTGCAACGATCGTTGATGCTTAAGGTGTTCAGAGGTGAAGATGTTTGATGTCCAGTGGTCAAAGGTGGTTTCATGTTTCCGGAGAACTTCCTCCTGGGCTGTATCGACTTGATCCCACAGCTTTAACTTATCCTTTCGCTTGGAAAGTCTCACTCGAGCACGCTCCTCTGTTCTATTGTTTTCGTCACGGACAAAGTTTTCCCAGTGTTTGGACAGAGCGCCGAAGAAAAATGAATCAAGATCATCGCGTTGGTCGTCAACCCAGCGTAGGAAGCTAGCGTCATCCAAACCAACAAGCTTTTGGAAACCGGAAGACAAGCGTTTGTGAAGGAGGGAACTCGCGTAGTTCAGGAGTGCTGACATTTCAGACGGCTTCTGTACCAAAAGCAACCGCCACAAGTTCGCCGCAGCCAACCGAACACCTTCGTCATCCATGACCAATTTAGAATAGAGGAGATAGCATATCAAAGGCAAATATTCTGTCTGGGGATCTTCGGTGGACAGAATTATTGTTTGCCAATATGTTAGTTTTTTGATAAAGTCGAGTACGTCAGAGTCTTCTGCCTCAGAGAGCTGAAGCAACATGGTGCGCGACACCACCGAGCGGATAGAAGAGATTGCTTGGCTACATAGCCGAATACTCTTCATACTCGCAACCTCAGGCTGCTGTAAATATTCGAGGATCGGCCCTGCAAACTCTAAGATAGAAGTTGCGCCCTCTATAAACCAGCCCTCGTAAAGAGTTTCCACGAGCTGCGTTAACAACTTAGAGACGTTTGTTAAGACCCGAGGTTCCCAGAGAAGCTTTCGATTTAACAAGATGGTGTTTTTGAGTTCAGAGAGTACATTCCGAAGGACCCAGGATTCGAAATATGTCTGATGTTCGATGAACCCGGGAGGGGTTGCCAAGTGGAGGGCCAATTCGGAGAAGTCCTTTCTTGTGAGCACTTGGTCAATAATAACCGCCGCAACCACTTCCAAAACCCCTTGTACAATGGAATGAGCGGGTGGGGGGTTCACACTTTCGGATTTCGGAGCAACGGCCTGGCGGAGTCGAGCCAAAGATGGAGAATGCTGAGACTTATCAGATGACACGAGAACGAAGGAGGAACGCCGTCTTAGGCCAGTTCCACCACCATGGGGTTCTGAATTATCCACAGTTGTAGTGCGTAGAACCGGGCGAGCATTTGAGAGCGGGCGAATAACCACATCGCGCGCTCCAAAAGTCAGCCCGACGGACTGGGAATTAAGCTCTACGTCGGCGCTGACTGCATCTGAGCCAACTACGACAGGGAACAGGAGGAAAAGGAGCTCTTGCACATAGGTGGACGTCACAGCAAAGTCACGAAAGTGTTGAGACTTGACATGGATATCCGCGAGGAAGCCAACGACTGTGTTTAGCAGTTCAATATTCGACTCAGAACACGCATTTATCGCGGCAACATCTAAAAACAAAAGCCCAGTTAGATGTACAGAGAAATGTAATCGGGAAAGGGAATTAACAAAGGCTTGGAGAACCAACCTGGCGGCGTTGCGCTTGACATGGAGCGTCGATTTACACGGGTTCTACCGAGTTGTTCGGTATCTTTGAGAGCGGATGGTTCGCTGCTCCTTAGGACTGTCGCTTTGAGGCCGGCTTCGAGCATTCCTGTAACGACGGGAAGAATCTCAGGGAAGAGAACTTTCAACTCCCCATTAGAATTAAATAAATCTAAAAATCCGAAGTGGTCGAAAGGTCGGTCCAGGTCTAATTGTGCAACATCTTTCCCGAACAAAATAGCGAAGCAAATCGGCCACAGCGCAGGAATATGCCACCAGCGTCTCAGACGTCGTCGCATAATGACGAATCCACCTGATTTGTCTGCAAACTTCCTCGTATAGCTGCTGCCATGGGTTACTAGTAATCTAGCAAGAATAGTGGTTGCCAGCACCACGACTTCGGGATTGTCTTCTAAGATTAAGTATAGCAGCCACTAACGAAAGTGGAATGTCAGTAACGTGGCTAGCAATTTCGCATTACATGTCAACGAAGGACTAACCTTGTTGGTTACAGTTCTCGCAAATTTCGCAATATTCGTCGTGCCGTTCTCTTTACAAACGATGTTGGTATACGCTTTTAAGACTTCGATTGCTACTTGAGCTTTTGAGAGGTACGTTTTTTCTGAATGTAGGGAATAAGCCAACCTGGGCTGTCTAAACCGAGAATCGAACCGAGCGGCTTTTTTCTTCTGCAAGTTTGTCTGCCGCTTCACACTGTGAATGGAGTAGGTGATGAACAGTGCTAGGGACCGAAGAATTTCCGCCGACATGCATGATTTTACTAATGAACTAAGTGAAGGAACAAAAAGTTTGATAGATTCCGCCGTGAAGCTCTCCCCTTTAATCGCATCCAGGAGCTTCTTGACGACACCTAGAAAAATATATGTCAGCATTTTAGATACGAAAATACGCAGCAGAATGATAGGGTATCGTACGCATTCGTGAAAGACGCTTGGTATTGAATCGGTGATGCCGGCACTCAGAGCAGAATGTGACAAATTGAGAGTAGTATATCTCAAGCAAAGGCAGATCTCCAAGCCTCCAGATGTCCAAGTCAACAAGAAGGACTCGATACGCTAGTGGGTTAGTAATTACAGACTCTTTCGGGTCCTTGAAGTCATAGCCAACAAATTTTAGAATTAGGAGCAGAATCTCCATGGCTAACCCGGTGCGGTGTTCCGGGGCCGGAAACAGAGCGGTAGGCTTCGAAATGGCATTCTGAATGTGGGATGAAAGGCCAAGCTTCTCACGAAGGAGAATGGCAAGTACACTGTAGGCATTCTCACGCTCCATCGCCTCACTATTTCTCCAGTTATCTTGAACGGCTTCGAACAAAGATTCCACAGCAATACAAATGCTTTCGGGTGTGGTTGCTGCTTCAATCAAGCTGAGATGTGGTGCAGCACAACCGCCAATTCTCCAACTAGCATCGTCTAATGACTGTGGTACAGTCACAACAGGATCTCCAGTCAGAGTAGCAACACCACGTGCTTGTGTCAAAGCATCATTTATTGCAGGAATGGCACCATTGACAGCGACAGCATTTCCACCAGCTTTGGTGAGATGATTCAAATTTCTAGCGGCCTGCTTTGACAACGACTTCACCAACTGGGATTCGTCGATGTTATTGCTATCATCATCATCGAGGACTGTCATTGGTGATATATTCAGGAGGACGGAGCTTTCCGGGATCAGGGTACTGGCTTTCTGGCGAATAACGGCAACAATATCCGACTGGTCTTCTTTACCAGGATGGAGACTCTCGTTGCGTAGATTCAACTGAGCAGATGCCTTGTAGGTTTGGAATGAACCTAAACAATCCTGAAAATTCCCATGATATCGTGGGCCCAAATGGTAGAAAACCGCTATAATGTCGTCCGTAAATGCCTCGTCGAATAAGATGGCAGATGCCAAGGACCATCGGGACGTTGATACCCCTTTGCCAAGTCTGGTTGCTAAGTCCTCCGGAGTACCCAAGAAAGCCTGGACTCGAGGCACGCGGTTAGGGACAGAAACAGCTGGAAGAGATGGGTACTCGGGCTTTAACTGCTCTACAAACTCTCCGTTGACAAATAATGTAGCCCTTGACGATGACATAGGTCGTGGTCTTTTATGGACAATGCATATATGGTACCATTTCCCAGGAGCAAAAATCACTGACTTGAAACGAACACTCGGGCGCGCCCCCCTCATTGAAGTCTGGAGGATAAAATTACGAGTATCCTTTTCAATATATGCAAGTACAAAACAAGCTTGGCTAGGATCAAAAGCTCCAAATATTGTGGTGTGGGCATCCGGGTCAAAGTTATCGAAGCGCGCCCACACGGCAAGGGTATATCCAGCGGAATGAGTGGGGGGAAATGGTTTGCCCAACGCCGGCAACTCAAGGGAAGAGTAGCCATGCCTTGAGAGGTCAAAATGAATACACGCGGGATTCTTCGACGACTTGATGGCATCTAGAAGGAATTTTAAAACAGTAGGGGAGTCATGAGCCGCTCGATAGAGCTGGGCGGCATCTTCCAAACTATTTATGCCTTCAGAGCAAAGAATGCTAGCAAGTTGGCGATACAGGTCCCGGTCTGGCCCGAGCCTTTTTGAATCTGTAACAATTTGGAGAAGGCTGCTCAGCATGCCCGTTGAATGGAGTGCTAATAAATTGCGTCGAGACTGCTCTGCTAGATGAATCAAGCACGCCGGAAAGGCCAGAAGTTGGATTGAGTTCGGAAAATCCGATGACTGCGCCAGCCAAAGCTTTAAAAGGGGCCCCACGAACTCGCCATTTTCGATTGTTTCCGATGGCCCTAGAATTTCACCAACAACTTCTCGTACTACTGAAGAGTTTGAGCTGTCATTGTTCGGCTGAACCTTTTTCCTGATCACAGTGAAAAAGTCAGAGAACATCTCTTGTCCCAGAGCCGCAGCGAGGAGTCCGCCATAAAACTGCTCAATGTCAGTAGCTTCAGGGCCGGTAGCATCTTCAGCATTCTGACTAAGTTTCCTGCATAATGGCGACAGGCTACTCTCCAACAGGGTAACACCACCAGAATCTAGCTTTTTGACGAAGTATCTCTTGTTTCCGGGATGGTCTTTCAGGCTCTCAGCGAGGACGCCATGGATATCTTTCGCTAGGCCTAGAAGGCCTTTCCTCTCCTCCCTCGACAAAGCCGCAGGGTCATATATATCCCCTATTTCCCGTAGTAGTCGGAGTAAAGTTGGGAATCCCAGCAGCTGGCGGAAAATATCTTTTGCGCCCCTCGTGTTCTCATCATCGATAAAGGTGTGACGCAACCGGAAGAGATTTTCAGTTGCACGGAGGACATTGTGAACAGACTCAGCCTCCTGATTGCAAACATCGGTTATTGACGCAATGACAGGACGCAATTCAGTGACCAGGCGTTCTGAGGCAAGCGAAGGCGGGGACGATGGACGCCGGGAGCGGGAGGAGGAGCTACTCATGGCTCCTACGCGGAACCTAACTTCCTATTTGCAAACTACCAACAAGATTAGGACTAGGAAGGATTTAATTCGGTCATTGAGAAGGTGTTACACCCACAGTATTTAGCTACCGAATAATGAAGACTTTAACATTCAGGTCATGTATGCGAAATCCACGGTGGTCAAAACGAGTCCTCTCCAAGGTGAGATGACTCGATGCCAACGTATTTCAAACATTAGATGTTGAATTTAAAATGTTAAATAATAGAAGTAGGACAGAACGATACGAAGCGCTCATGAGAAACAGAAAGCTGTCCTCTTGTTGCGCCGGTGAAGGTCCGGGATATTACTGCGTAATGCGGTCAGCCCTGTCCTGTGTGCTACTACTTCTCGTCCGTCTGCGGCTCAAGCAGCGCTTTGTCGCAAAACGAACCTCGGAACGGAACAACGTTTATGAGAATTCCCAATTTAGCTAGCGAGTGGGCTAAATTCCAACCTTGTCGTTAATCATGTGATCTTTGCACCCCAGTTGCCGATAACAGGCGATCGGGGAAGAAGTAGCTCAGCTGACTGAATCTGCGCCAGCTAAAACGATGGATACGGTGGATACGCGGGGGAATAATACAGTGGCAGTAGCTCATATAAAAACTCTTTCTATATAAAAAACGAAAAAAAAAAGAATTATATAAATATAAAAAGAACAATAAAAATAAACAGAGAAATAAATAAGAGAAATAAAGTAAGATATATATAATAGTGTCCTGGGTCCGGGCTCTAACTTGGCCGCGCCCGGCAACCCATCCTTCTAGTGGTGTCTTGCCTGCTCCGGACCCCGGTGCCTACAGTTACAAATAGTGAGATAATAAGATAATAATATATTACAAACTGTAGTCAACTCAGAAAGCAGCTGATATATTAATTTTATATGATTATAGAAAAGTTATCTTTTTTATATGACTGATTGACATAGCTAGCTAGCTATATGAAACGTGTGTGATTATTTGCGAGCTCGTAACCAAAATGACGCAAGGTTACTGTACCTCGGTGTACTGTAACCAGGCGGTGTATCAGGCGGTCACATCCAGCATTTCCGTTACAGTATCGTTACCGGGCCACCACCGGCTGACTAACGCAGCTTTCCCCATACATCATTCCTCCTGTCCGCCCCAAGCTCAACGACTTCTCTCCTCTCCCATCCAACGTCCGTATCACCCTCCCAGCCATCTCCAACCTCCTCTCACCCAGCCTTCTCCTCGTCTTCCATCTGTTGTATCATTCTCCTTTTGCTTCGTAGATTTTATCTTTTGTTTCGCTCATTTCCAGTGTCCTTCTTTCGTCAGCATGAAAGGCCTTCTCGCCTTATCGATCTTCCCGCTACTGGCGGCCTCCTCGCCGCTGGTGATTGATTCCATCCATCAAGATGCTGCCCCCGTTCTGTCATCAGTGAACTCCAAGCATGTTGAGGACTCATACATCATTGTTTTCAAGAAGCATGTCACCAGCGCTTCAGCAGCTGCCCATCAGAGCTGGGTGCAAAACCTCCACACGACCGCTTTGGCCAAAAGATCACAGCTCAACAAACGTAACCAGTTTCCGTTCAAGAACGACGTTTTCTCCGGCCTGAAACATACCTACGATATTGCTGGCTCGCTTCTAGGATACTCGGGTTCCTTCGACGAGGAGGTTATTGAGCAGGTCCGCAAGCATCCAGATGTAAGTGACTCCTCCCTCCCTGCTAAGGTGCAGCGTCTTGGCAGAGCTCCTGACTCTAACCCCGTTTCGGATTTGCCTAGGTCGATTTCATCGAGAAGGACTCTGAAGTCCATACCATGGAGAAGCATAAAATAGAACACAATGCCCCCTGGGGTCTGGCCAGAATTTCACACCGGGACAGCTTGAGCTTCGGCACATTTAACAAGTACCTATATGCAGCTGCAGGAGGTGAAGGTGTCGACGTCTACGTCATCGATACTGGCACCAATGTCGACCATGTTGATTTCGAAGGACGGGCATTCTGGGGGAAAACTATCCCAATAGGTGATGAGGATGTTGATGGCAATGGCCACGGGACCCATTGCTCCGGAACTGTCGCTGGCAAGAAATTCGGCGTCGCCAAAAAAGCCCATGTCTACGCTGTCAAAGTCCTGAAGTCCAACGGCTCTGGAACGATGTCTGATGTCGTTAAGGGCGTTGAATGGACCACTACCCGCCATTTGAGACAAGTGGAAGCCGCTAAGTCAGGCAAAGGACGGAAAGGCTTCAAGGGTAGCGCCGCCAACATGAGTTTGGGTGGCGGAAAGTCTATGACGCTCGATCTCGCGGTTAATGCAGCCGTTGATGCTGGCATCCACTTTGCTGTAGCTGCTGGCAATGATAATGCCGATTCCTGCAGCTACTCCCCCGCTGCTGCTGAGAAGGCTGTCACTGTCGGAGCCTCCACTCTTGCTGACGAGCGTGCTTACTTCTCCAACTATGGACCATGCAATGATATCTTCGCACCTGGTCTTAACATCCTCTCTACATGGATTGGCAGCAAATATGCCGTCAATACCATCTCCGGTACTTCCATGGCATCTCCTCACGTTGCCGGCCTCCTTGCCTACTTCCTTTCTCTCCAGCCAGCTGAAGAGTCCGCCTTTGCTGTCGCTCCCCTTACCCCGGAGAAACTTAAGGCCACCCTCATTGATATCGGCACCTGGGGCGTACTGACCCAAGTTCCCGCGGATACTGAGAACGTAAGTTATATCTGAAAATTATTGGCATGAGACAAATTGTCGTTACTGTTGCTAAACATTTGGATAGGTCCTTGCCTGGAACGGGGGTGGCTCTTCCAACTACTCCGCAATTGTGGCCAAGGGTGGGTACAAAGTTGCGTCGTTCCAGGAGCAGGCCCAGGATACTCTCGACAGGCTCGAGACGGCCGCTAATCATGAGCTCCACGCCATCTACAGCGAGCTCAAGAATGCGTTTGTCTTGTAGAAACCTAAACCACGACCTCAGCATGGTATCATGTCTCCGTAATGTCGCTGGGGCTGGGTTGGGCAAGATGGCTGGATGATGGCCTCGCCGACAGGCGTAAAGTGCCGTATGATTTGCTTTCGCTTTCCCCTTTCTACTCGTTCTACTCATCTTTCCTCCTCTCTCAATACATGTGTGCAATTTCTTTCATGCGTTTGCGCCGGTTTTTCTCTCCAAATCTCCTAGGAAACGTTGGTCGTTCCTAACTACTCTGTGGTTACGCGTGGTGCTTGTATTGGTTTTGTTTTTCACGTCACTGTTATCATTACACTAGGACTCTTGTTATCATTTTTCTGTGTTAGAGACGGCGACACAGTATAAGGCACCCTATATACATCTTCTGCCACCCATGCACCTGGGTGAAATGTAGACCTGAATGAGGATTTCATCAGTACCTTTTATCTTAACCTATTTTCCTTCAACCTATTTTGGTTTCCAACATCGCGTAGAAGCTCCCTCAACTCTGCCGCGTGATGATAAAACATGGGCCAAAAATGAATCAATCCTACCGGCTGCCTAGACCACGCAGTAACTATACCAAATATGTCCTCTAACTCTGTCACCGAAAACTTCCCTCTAAAAACACCCAAAGCCGCTACCAAAAGAGTATTTGAAAAACCGTACCTCTGCGGCTCAATACCAACCATTCCGTTGGGGGCGGGACGACGGGACGAACAGCCTTGGATTATTGAGAGGCAGCCGGCTGCGTGAGGCGAAGGTATTTATTTTGTGGAAGTGTAAAGTTTGCTTGATTGATGATTGCTACCTAAGAAAGAAGTTATATGGTGGAAGAAGGATTACCAAGCTAGATCATGACATTCTGTAGGCTACTGGGGCAAAAGAGCTCACCAGCGCACTGCTGGTAGAAGGGCCGATCAACCCGGGACCCCCAACACATTCTGACTCATTATAGTAACTGTACATGATTCTAATCTGTATTGATCATATAATCTCAAATCTCTTGTCTGCTGTTTCACTATATCCAGCTCTGCAGTCTCATGTTGAACATGTGTTTTGTACCAGTGGCTTTACTACTGCCTCCCTACGGAGTAGATGTCTCCGACAAAGGCCCCCATGATGCCGGGGTTAAACCTGCCAGTCGACAATACATAATTTAGGCTCCGATAGAGAGCGATTGCATCAATTTGCATGTATGTATTGTATCCGACGGCCCCACCCACCGCGGGCTGATTGGGACCTTGGCTTTCTCCTTTAGCCCGGCTGGCGACAAGGCCGGGTGTTTGTTTGCGGAGTTTATTTTAACTGTAGGGTAGGGGTTCTGTGAATCTCAGCTACGACGTCAACGTCGCGCCGTTGATGAATGTTGCTAGCAGCCTTCACTCTTGTTCAAATGCATCATCACATAAGAAATTTTATTGATCCTCTCGCAAGTGTTTTGTCCAGTCCGCATATAAATATCATGTCTGTCCTTCACTTCAGCCCTAGTAAAAAGCCTTTCAAGGTTAATCTATTAACTCATAGTTGATTTCACTCATTTCTGCCTCTCTGCAAGAAATATATACACCTAGGTATATATACATACATATATATATATATATAAATAACAAAAAAGAGCAACTTACTCTAAACCATGCACCTCATCCTCACGGGGGCCTGATCCCTGGGCGGATCTCGAAGTTGACAATCCTCAGCTGTGGGCCTGTACCTATGGCAGAAGGGAAGCCAGGAGTAACTGTCATTGAGCACAAAAATTTCAATGAGTATCCTACATCGCTGCTGAAACTGCTTGAGGGGGCTGAGGGGTGCGTGTGGGCACAGGGTATAGCACAGTAGCAGGTTGGCAGGGAGTGAGTATTCTACTTAGCCAACTACATCAATATGATTTGGTATGGAATGTATTGACGAGCTTTTTGGTTAGGGAGTACATCACAATTACCAAGGATTATCCATTAACAGCAGCCAGGGCGTTCAGTACTCTGGCTAATACCTTTAAGTTTGTTTACATTTCAGGTACGTCCTAACTTCCACTACTATCCATCTAGGTGACATTTCCCTCGCCGACTATGCGGCAAGTCTTCTTTCTTAATCCCAGCCATTTCTGCTACATATCAAGCAATCATACCAGAATGATCTCTCTCTATATATATAGGTGTATTTATACTATACGCTGTAGATATAACTCTATATCAGGCTAGACCACTAACAGAAGCGTTTATAGGCCACAACAAAGCCAGGCAAATTCACCCAACTTTTCGCAACCGTCAAAGGCGAATGCGAACAACCCCTAATCGAAATGGCACACAAAATCCCAGCGTTCAAGCCCTATTCTCTCCAGCCAGCTTTCGTCGATTCAGTCTCTGATGAAGCAGTGAAGCAAGCAACAGCCAACCGCCAACTTCCGCTGAGCTATCGGGTTCTGGGTGCTTTTACCCCATTGATTAGGAATTTTATTCCGAGTATAGTTTCACCGACTCAGGACATTGGGTTGGCGGCGACGGTGTTGGCGATGGGCGATGGGAAGGGTCTGGATGGTTCTGGTGTATCGGAAGGTGGCCGCATTCTGAGTAATGAAGCTATTCGAAGGATTGCGAAGGATGGGTTTACCTCAGGTTGAGGGTGAGATTCATTACGGATTATAATGTGGGGTGATGTCCGTGCGATTCGTTCTCGTTCTTTTTGTAAATATTATTTTATCACAGTATTTTCCCTGGGCGTTTGGCATAGATATTTTAGATTTGATATTTAAGAGGCTGGTTCATTTTTTTTTTTAATTCAATGACCTGCCTTTGTTCTACCTGCTCTATACTCTGTACTCTGTCTAAACTTTTAGACAGGCCTTTTACCTAAATACCCGGTTTTTTTTTTTTTTTTTTTTTTTTTTTTTTTTTTTTTTTTGTTGAAGAGACTGGTTAAGGATTCAAATGCTGTTCCAATACTCTACTCTGTAAGGTTTAAATATTAATGTCCACATGCCCCCTTTAGGTAAATATCCACCGGAATGAAGCTTCTTTTCAAATCACGGCTACAAATTCTGCTTCATTTACGAGGTAAGAACAATATCTATTATATGCAATCAAGATAGTGATCACGAAGCCTGCAATGCGCCCACTCAATAAATAAATAAGCTTATTTATCCAGTTAAACTTCACGCCAGGAAAGCTTCGAAACGGAACGTCAACCGCATTCCAGAAGCAACAAAACATCGAAAACACAACCCCTCCCCACTTCCCAAATAATAAAGCAAACCCCTCTGAATTGTCCACATCAAATAAAACCCCTACCCGCCTTCCCGACACTTGTCATGACCACCGAACCTCCTCCACACAATTACCTACGTACACGCCCACAATGCCCCCCATCCCCCAACCCTCCGACTTCCCCCCGTCCCTAATCCTCACAATAACACCCCCACCAACCTCACGATCCACAAACATCCTTCTCCTCCTCCACGGGCTAGGCGACACAATCGCCCCCTTTACCTCCTTCGCATCCGCCCTCCACCTCCCCGAAACAACCTGCATCGCCCTGCAAGCGCCCACGCCCCTCCCCTTCGAGCTCCCCGGCTACCATTGGGGCGACGACATCCTCTTGGATCCAGATGCTCTCGACGCAGATCCGGGCTTCTCGCGCGCCACGGATAAGATCGTCCGGCAGCTGATATTGCCGGTCCTGGTGCGGAAGCTTGGGTATCGCGGGAGGGCGATTTTTATACTGGGATATGCGCAGGGGGCTAGTATGGGGTTGAGTGTTGGGCTGGAGGTTGGTAGGGGTGCGTTGATGGATGATGCGGATGGGAAGAACGGGAACGGGGAGAAGGAGCTGGGCGGAATTGTGGCGATAGGAGGGGTTTTGCCGCTTTCGGCTATTAAAGAGGATGGGGCGGGGAAGGCGGGGACGCCCGTCTTGTTGGTTGGGGGTCAGGGCCCTGGGAGTGCGCTTTCGGATGCGGGGATAGGTAGGACGAAGGGGAATTTTGGGAATGTAGAGGTGGTGAGGTGGAGGGGGAGGAGGGGGGATGGGATGCCGAGCAATCGGGAGGAAATGTTTCCTATTATGCGGTTCTGGCGAGTAGGTTGAGGAGTACAAGCGGGGTGCCGGAGGGGAGTGTGGAAATTGGCTAAGTTTGATGCCTACGACTGCGATTATTTGGTTTTGCTTCCGGGATATTGAAAACTTGGGGGGTCTACAAGTCTCCTTTTATTTTTGATAGCTTGCAGGAGGAACAGGTACTATAGGATACTAAAGGGAAACTATTATTTTACATCCGAGAGAGCTTGACGGGCTTTGTGGATTTGTTGCCTGGCTTCGGTTTCAGGGGCTTCTTCGATAGCCCGTCCGCCCTCATGAATGATGGTACGCAGTACCTCTTCAGTGTCCCTCAGGGCGCGGCGGCCTTCTTCGCGGACCTCATGCTCCCACAAGCTACGTGCAGAATCCCATCCCTTTTGCTGCCGGCGTAGCGAAACGAAAAGCCCAATTGTTGCGATCGTGCCGGCTTCGTACATCGAAGTGCCAGATGTCGAAATATACACCAAAGCAGACAGCGCAGCGCTGAGTGATGTCGTTGATAAACTAAAGAAGACAAGATTTTGCGCGACGGAATGCAGGGAGGGGACGCTTGAGGTTGTAAGGCTGTCGCGAATGTCTGAGATTTGCGTTGGCCAAAGCCTCTCAGAGGACATCGACGATAATTCTCCAGTATGGGATCCCCCGAGCTCAGGTAACTCCTGAATTCTGGCCGTTGAATTTGAAAGGTTGTTCAGTAATCCGGCCTGGTGAATTTTCCCACCAATCCAGACTACCTCTTTCTCAGCCTCGGGGAGCCATTTCTTCCGTAATACACGGGAGATGATCATTCCCACGTCATCCACATGCCAAAACAACTTCCACCAAGCTAGATTCCGCCACGCTTTATTTGCAAATCCTTCGTTGAGTGTGTCACGAAGTTCTGTGTGTGCACGCTCCGCCCATGCGCTGACTGTCCTATCCAAATCCAGCCTTACCTCTTCCGTGACGTTCTTGGCTTGCTGCGCCAGTATCCTTTTGTTCTCTTCGGCGTTAATGCTCTCTTCGGCCTCGTCTAACAATGATCCTACAAGCCTCTTAATCGACGGATCTAGGATGTCATCCTTCGGAGAGGTTGATACCCAATCTATGAGCAGCTGGACACCGCTTCCCGACCAGCCTTTCTCGTATTCCGGGGCGTTTTGGACCGACTCTCGAAACGTATTCAATGCCACCTCTGCACGTTCGATATCGACACATGAGATCCCATTCCCCTTTTGGGTTGAACCTTGGCCTAAACTGAAGTCGAACGATGCACATATCGAATCCATGTCTGTAATATTTGCACGTTCGGCTAGTCTTGTATATGCTAACAACCCATCAATCTCCTTTCCACAAATCATGCTCTTGTGGACCGGGTACCGGATAAAAGTATGGGTTCCAGTACTGGTCGATTGGATGGCGATTGTTGGAACGAGGAACGTGTTTCTGGTGATATGGACATCTGAATTCGAGTTCGCGCTGAGAGGTGAAATAAGGATCTCCAGGTTGGAAGATTGCAGTGTTCTCGAGGGTATTGATATCGTTGGTACGAGGCTGTTCTCCACTGCGAGATCCGTTTGGTCTCCATACCTACAAACCCGGTCATTATTAGTACTTAATAAAGAAGCATCATTCGACGACGTCGTACTTTATCAATAGACTGCGAGATCCATCCATCCGATGCTTCTCTAAATAATCCTCCCATGCTTGTTTCGGGCTCAAGGGATCTGCCAGTAGTAGTCGGACAAGCCTGGCTGTCGTAGTTGTATCATCCAAAGCGAGGACTGTAGTAGTCAATTGATCCAGTCAGCCCAAATCCGAGCCTCAAAGCGGAAACGAACAGGTTGCGTTCTTTCCGAGGCAGTTTAAAAAGAGCTTTCAAAGACATACCAGCAAGCCGGATCACCGGCCTCGTAGTCTCCAGCCCCCTTAGCGCCAATTGCAGCCTACTCGAATTGACATGGTTGGCAGCAGTATCATGGACACCATTTAATGCGGAATATAGCCCTTGAAACCGCTCTGGTATATTTCTTGTGATATTCACTGTGTGTGCAGCTCTATATTGGGCTGCGAAAGTTGACGTGAAGCGGGAGTGACGTGGGTTAAAAGTCCTGTTGCGCCGGCGTGTGGTCAGCGAGGGCAATGAATAGCGCCATATTGAGCAGGACGGACAGAAGAAGACGGCTTCTGTGAGCGGGATAGCCTGCTTTGAGAGAGAAGAATGGAGTTTTGGTGGCATTGAGAGAAAGAAGGGGAAATGGGTTTGTTTGCTAAGGGTTGATGATTTGAGGACGGAGTTTGGTTTAAAAAAAAAAAAAAACACAATTTTCCCAGCTGGGGATTTGACCCATCGACAAACATTTTTTTCCTGGCGAGCAGAGAGACAACAGCAATGGGCTAAATACCAGATACAGACACCCAGGTTGCTGGATGGAAATCAGAGGACTCATGCTGCTTCACTTTCTAGTATATTTTTTAATTTCCTTCCCTTATCTAACTGTACAGTGGAGGCTTGCCACGGCACCTCTTTTATTTACTTTTATACATTGAATCGGATATTTTAGATCATTCTACATGTGATGTATAGCCGCAATGCATCTCAACCGGTCACTTTGTCAACTTTACTGGGAACCCCTCTGACAAAGCCCCTTTCTTTGATGACAGTCTCTGGAAGGCAGGTTGAAAAAATCTGGGAATAGCCGACAAGTGCTGACTGCGCTCACTTTATCAGTTCAGCGTCTAGAGACATTGTTCTCAACACGCCCTCAAACGGCTTTTGGGACATTTTATTTATTTTAGTATATTGAAAATGATTTCTTCTAAAGATACCCTGAGATAGCAACGTCCAGAAGGCGAATTTCAGTGACGTGGCAACAGAGTTGACGGTATCATTCGCATATCCCTGGAAGATTGAACAGAGCGCTGTATGGGAAGGAGATTAGGACAGAGCAAGAACAGCGGCGAAGAACAGATAAATAAAAAGGGAGAGGCATTTGTCAGTACTAATTGCATTTGAGGTGAGAGTTAATATAGAGGCCCTGCCCCATATTTTCAAAGGCTGCGTCAAAAAGTAAGGTCATTATTTCGGCATTATAGAAGAGAATTGGAGCGAAAAAAAAAAGACAGAGAGAGAGAAAGAAAAGCAACACCAGTCATAGCACATCCACATATGTTGGGCTTTTCCAGCAGTCGCCTTCCTGCCCTTTCAAAGCGTCTTCACACCAAAAACAAGCAAAAGGTCTATCTCTTCGTAACGCAAGCTGTGGGACATTGGTCTTTTTAACATGCAATTACATCGTGGCGCAAAAGCTTAGCTAGCTAATGAGTTTAAAAAATAAACCGGGATATGACGTCGTTATTTTAACTCGAAACGGGTGCTAAATTTGTTTTGAACGATTTTCCTTTTTCCTTTTTCGCTCTTTTCAATTTCCTTTGGCGCCATTACTCTGGCCGGGTCCGACGGCTTCTACTCGAGCCAGAAGACCTGTTGTGTTGTTTTCTGTTAGTATCGCATTTCGTTGACTCGGAAAATATAGTCCCACAAAGAAACAATGATAAACTTACATACTGATCCTTCTAGCCATGTTAGTTAGGCTAGTATCATTCTCTGCCTCCTGGGCAGCACGCTCCAATGCCTGTTTCCGCTCCTCTTCACTCTTCCTATGCACTTCCTCGTGGGTTGGAGGAAGTCGTTCATTCTGCAAGTCGACCTTGCGCGCGTCTTCGAAGTTATGGATCGCTTGTTTGATACCTTCTGCTCCCAGCATGAGCGTGCCAGCAGGGAGACGGCCACCAGAGGCAGTTTTAAGCTCAGTGACTCTCTCCGCTTCTTCACGTAGTACCTGGAAGACCCGCGAGAGACGGCCAATAGCCAGAATCTTGTTCTTGATCGCGCGTCTTTTGAATTCAGTACTCTCGGGGTCCATTGGAAGGTGGGGCGATGCAGGGCCGGACGATACTGATGAGGAAGGTTCTTCTTCCAGCTCTTCTTTGGAGCAGGTGTTCAAGATAGCGATAAGCATGTCGGTAATCTTCTCGCCAACAAAAGGGAGCGACCATGTGAAAACGTCCATGAAATTAGGTAACCAGTACGGATGAGGAGTACAATTGAACTGTCTGATGTTCATTACGTTGTTTTCGTATTTCAGAACGGCGGCTTTATTGTTGTAAACGTCGAGGTAATTTGGCGCGCTGAATATCGTCATCACGCTCGGGAATCCGGTCGTTCTGGTCTTCCTATACATTCTGTACCCGGCATCCTGCGCCTCGTGGGCTCGAATTATGGAAAGTAGATTGTTCTTCTCCAGGAATGCGCAAGCAGCCGGGTAGGAGAAAAAGTACGAACATCCTCGCACATTATTGTGCACAAAATACTCTCCCGTTTTCTCTTGGCCAAATTCCTCCAGTGGATCAGCCCAAAGGATATCACACATGAGGCCCTGGGTTGGGGGCTCCCTGAAACGGTCGATCTAGTAACAATTAGCAACAATGTAACAACACAATTCGCGTGGCACTTATCCGCAAACTTACCGACTTCAGGTCCTCTAGTGTATGTAGCTCAGGACTGAGGCCACCATGGATGCATAGGAATTGTTTGTTCATAACGGCAGCGAGTGGTAAAGCACAGAATGATTCCGTGCAAGCATCGTACACCTTTTCCGAGTACTTGTGCTTACATTCCAGTTTGAATGTAAAATAGTCCGTGAGATGACGACACTCGTGGTTCCCGCGCAACAACCATAAACTATTCGGATACCATATTTTTAAGGCCCAGAGGTACAAGACACACTGCATGAATGTTCAGAAACGTCCGTTCCTATCATCGGCTTCCAGAGGGGATGGTTGCATACCTCGATGCTGAAATAACCTCTATCAACGTAATCGCCAAGGAACAGGTATCGCGTCTCTGCAGGGTCTCCACCAACTTCAAATAGCTTCATTAGATCGTAATACTGGCCGTGGACGTCTCCACAAACGGTAATAGGCGCGTCCATTTCCAAAAGATTAGGCTCTGCGCGCAATAATTGAGTTCCTGTCTGTATAATCCATAATGCTTGCTCCTCAGTAAGGCGACCTTCACGGTAGAAATGCTGTTTAAGAAACTGCAGATTAGGTTTCGACGGGTCTTCCGGCGACCAGAATTGTTCGTTGGTCGGCAGTTGAAAAGCCGGCGCTTGAACGTCTATGGAAAGCAATTAATTTCTGTAAGGAAGTTTAAAGCTTGAAAAAGGAGTCACCTTTGCAAACCCTCTCGTGTGTAGAAACTTGAGTTCCGTCTTCCATAGTATGGAGGGTGAAGTCAATTTCGGGAACTGGTTTCTTCTCCGTCACCGCTCGCTCTATTTGGGCTTCCATGTTTGCACGGGGGTATGGCTGGATAGGTATGATGGTGGACAACGGCAGCGCGGTAGCTTCAAGGAAAAGCAGGCAAGGAGACGGTAGCTCACGCACTCGAGCAGGACAAGTTTGGTGACTTTATTACTGTTCTGGGCGCAACGATAGAAGGGTTACAATCACGGCAAACAAATCAGACCAAATCGTGGGATGGATGTAATGAGCGAGTCCAGCTCCCGGGTATCATAAGCCGAAACCGGTAAGTAAGAATGTAGAATAGTGGACGGTGAGGGCGTATGTTTCTTCACAATATAAAGTAAAATTGAATAGGTAGTTATGCAGTGGGCGATCAGGTTTCCTGGGGGCCTGGCTGGAATGACTGGGGGTTATCAGCTAACATAACTCAATTGGGCAAGATTATGATGAGGGGCAAGAAACCTACAACAGATTAGACAGTCGCCTTGGTCGGGAGAGGGGAAACTGGTTGCCGTAGGCGTATCACGGAGACCGAGAAACTGAAAAGAGCTGGGAAGGTTGATGCGTGGTCGCCAGATCCGATCATGTTGTTGATGTTGTGTGGTGGGGATGAAGCGCGGGCAGAAGTTTTGGATTTCGGCAGCAGAAAAGCAACTTTTCAGCCTCACCCAGCTTGATTCCACCACAACATAAATAGTTAGTAGAAACATCCAAACATCCACCGCTTGCCGCAAACTTACTTCTACAAATTCAATGAACTGCACCAACTCACCAGGCACATTTACCCGTGTTTGACTCAGCTTACAGTTGCATGAATAACCCTCACATTATATTCTGTTACCTGGCACTTGCCTGCAGTTTGGGTCCGTGTCGTAGTGCTACATAAATACTTAATACTGCCTCCCGAGGTTTTTGACAACTCCACTCGTTCTTATCGCTGATACGATACGGCCCCGATTTGTCATTCTTTCAAAAGCCCAGGATCGGTTTTTGTTTATCCACGAGCCATGTATGAATCATATAGTCAGTAGTTGTTCTGCTACCTAGTCCCTCTGTCCGATTGAAGAATCTATGACTTTATTGACGATCGCTTCTGAAGAACCGCACCCGCTTTTGGCTCAAATACCCTTGACGGTGTCCCCCTTTATATCCTTGCCTACAGCCACGACACTTCCGTATACATATAAATCTGTGCCGTCCACACTCCCGCCCTCAGCCACAGTTGACCCCAGCGGCCTAGAGAAGGCTCGCTATGTCATTTCTCCGGGGAGAGGCCATACCGCCCACCCTAGTGATGTCCTCGCATCATGCGAAGCCCTAGAAAAACACATGAAAAAGATTCGAGAAGATAGTCTTGCCGCAATCAAGGATTGGGAAGAGTCAATAAAACAGCGCGACTTGGCAGAAAAGAGGAGAATTGCGCCCGGCTGGCTGGACCGTGAGGAAAAACTTCTGCAACCAGTGAAAGTCTCCCGAGTTATATCTGAAGCCGATGCTCCATCCCAGACGAGCCAACAGCTATCTACCGAGAAAAATACAGAAACTAGCCCAGATACAATTTCAACAAGTGAAAGGGAAGAGTTAAATCGTGCATTCGGCAGTCTCAAATGAGATGACCAGTTCATTGGCATAATCAAGCTGCTATTCCCTGGCTGTTATGTTGGGGGACGACTAGCCGCTTGCAATGAAGCTGTATTCTACTAGAATGGCTGGCGTTATAAAATCTGGAGTAGTCTAGGCGCAAAGAATGAATATCTTTTGGTGGAGCGTCGTATGGAGATACTGGATATTTCCATAAATGCAAATGGCTGGAACACCCAGATACTCTGCGAGCTCATAGCGGATATATGACGAGAATGTTGATGGGCGGCAATTCTTGAGAGAACGCTAAACTAAGCCGTGGAAGGGACTGTACACTATTTTGAATACTACTACGCTAACTCTCATTTGTTATGAACGGGAGTTTTGGACAAATTACTACACGGCGCCCGAATTATATTAAAGAGAAAGAACAGCTATCGAAACATGCACTTACACGCATCCTTGCGTGATGTCGCTGCTTTACACACTACTCTTCCAATCCATTCCCAATGTGTCCGGTGCCAGTTTTTCAAGATACCACGAAGTCGGGATCGTCAAATTGAAGTTGCCACGCTACACATGAACCAAGTCAGTTATTGCCACGAAAAAAAGCCACAAGATATGACTATAGAATTCTGAGGTGCAAAATCGCATATGCTTACTGGATGCATAACCGGTAAAACTCGACCAATCCTCCGAAAGGTAATATGGAATACCGCTCCTCTTGATCTTCTTCAACACACCCATTCCACCCAAAGCTGGACGGATGTTCTTGAGCGCAGTCACGCGCTTTAAGACCCCGACCAGGAATGCCAGGGCCAATTCACGACCAAAACATTGGTGCGGACCATCGCCGAATGCGATATACTTTTCGAGTGGGCGGTCAAGTTTGATTTTCTCTGGCTCTGGATATGCCTCTGGATCCCGACATGCGGCGGCCTGTTTTAACGTAATTAGTTCTTATCTCTCTTGAGAGCAGTAGGATCCTCTGGGTGGATGAACTAACGAAATACGCGATAATTTGCTCGCCTGGCTGGAAGCTTTGAGCGCCAAACCCTCCGGGCTGGGTAGCAACCCGTATGGTTACATGACCTGCGGTCAGACGCTGCATTTCAAGAACATATCGTCGAAGGTCATTGTCTGCCCTTTCTGAGTTTTCTAGGGTAAGTTGTTGGAATGCCTCGAGGTGTTCCACGTTTTCGGGGACTGCAATCATGAACTCCAAAACTTCCGCAAGCTGGATAGATCACGAATCATCTACTGTCAGTCATGTCCGCTCACCGCACACTAGAGATCTTCCTAACAACGTACCGTGCTAATAGCGGCACCGATGCCGCCAAGTGCTGTGAATACCATAATGTCGGCTATTTCCTGCACCGATTTTCCATTGGAGAGAAGCTCCATGATGCAATCACGTCCAAAGGAGCGTAGCGAAGTGCTGTTGCCATTGGATGCAAGCCCATTGGTTACGGCTCCGACAATATTACGGATTCTTGTTGAGCTCGTGACCCTTTTGATATACGCTTCTGTGGAAGCGAGTAGCCTCCTAGCTGACGCTTGGGCATCACGACGGCGGTTCCACGAAAGAGCAGGATCATCATTGCCGAATCCCCATATTCGGATATTAAGGAGATCATTGTATAGGCCGTCGATGTCGTATGTTCCCGAACTGTTCTCCTCTGTTTTCAAGTCGAACTGGAAGAGGTCGCCCATAAATCTTGTCATGACGGGAATTGCCACGCTTTATTTTTTTAAAAGAAAAATGGATTAGCTGGCTTTGAAAGATGGATGTGGAGGGAGGTGCGTTTGAATGTAGGGTCTTGCAGGGGATGGTGTTGAAAGATACTTACTCCTTCAAGATGTCGACGTGATACGTGCCCCTTCCAATCTGGAACATACTACCAGTTAAAAATTTGTCGGTTTGGTCCACGATGAACGTCGAGAGCAGCTCCTTCAGTTCGCCGCTCCCGTAGAGCGCGCTGCCGTACAAGTTTCGCTGCTCCTTATTCCGTGGCATATCCCCAGCAAGCATGAAATGGCCAAAATCACGGCCCTCGATGAAATTTTCATAGGGCTTTCCGAAAGGAACAGGGAACTGCTTGGGATCACTAAGCATTTGGCTGATTTCCGAGTGTTTCATTAATACGAGTCGACGGGGAGGTGGCTTTGGGTCAGCCTCAGTATATTGAGATATGGTCCCGAGCTCCGTTGCGATTTCCCGGTTCATTGCTGGCGTGTACATTGGTTGCATTACTGAGAGTGAGTTAAATGGGAACCACCCTGGCAGACCACGTTGGATTAGTTTGTAAAACATGGATCCTCCAAGACTGTTGGTTTCTGTCAGCGCCACACATATACCGGATTACCGAGCTGCAAGGGTCTATCTTACGTATCATAATCCTGCTGGGCTTCCGCCATACCCCAGTTTGTCAGTGTGGCAACATTATACTCCTATGGGGTGTGTTAGCAGCGGATGAGCATATGAGTAGAAGGGCTAATTCTCACTGTGGTGTTGAACCTGTCTGAACGAACAAGGGTTATGGCGTCGGAAAGAACGGCTCTACCGACTGTGTACGGCGTGCAAACTCCTGAACCTGGGTCCATTCTTGGTTTGGCGTCCTCAACATATAAGCCGGGGTACGCTTCGACCATGTCAGGATGCCCATAGAGATTTCGGAGATGGTCAGCTATTTCTGGGTCAGGGTTGATATCTTCGAAAGTCTCGTGGGGTTTAAGCTTGAAGAATTTGCGGAACTCATTAAGCGATGCCGTTCTCCTATAGTATACCGAGCATTAGAAATCACCGTCCGAGAATGGAACAGGACAATGCCTCCTTACCATTGACGAGCTTGGTGGATACCTAGGATCTCTACAACCCGCATAGCCTTTGGCGTGTTTTTGGGACCAAAGGCACCTAAACATAGCCCGTTAGTAGCCGCACTGTGCGCGAGATTACTGTGAGGTTTTACGTACCGGCCGGGTCATCAATGCTCGCTTTCAATAGTCTTACCAGATCTTCATCGCGGAATCTCCCATCCTCGCCTCTTTCGATGCCGCCAAAGTTACGTTGGCTAGGGTCCATGGGAATTAGGGATTCGAACTGTGCAATAGCCCGCATACCGTCTTTTAGAGTTAATTCCTCCAAAGGCTTTCCGGTGCTTTTGAATATTTCTCCAAAGAATTCATCTAACCATTTTTCATCCCCTAAGGAGATACAGGAATGGAAACGGTACAAGAGGTTGAATTCGGTCGTGACTTGGTTGCCAATGCCTCTTTCGGGGCCGGATTTTACCAGCGAAGCTGGGATATCCACACGTGGGTCCAAGGTCCATGAGCTGTCAGAATGATGTGTATTGGTAATTGCACGAAGATAGTCATGAAGACTTATGTTAATATACAATCCGCCAACAATCCTGCAACCTCATTAGCATATATTGTGGATTTCACATGATCTGATAAACGTACAATCTGGCAGTCTGGAATAAGTCCTCGTCCAACTGGGCAAGCGAAGCTTCATCGTCTCCCTTAGGGGTGAAACGTCCGCCTTCGTTGATTAGAAGCAGGGTCTCCGCCACATAATTATGAAACCGGCTGTAAAGGACTAGGAGGACGTTGGCACCAGGAGACTGCGCAATTAATCTCTCATCGTGGAAGGTGTCGGGTTTAAGGAATCCATTTTTCATGGTCCTGACCTTCAGTTGGTCCTTCAGGCTAGATCCATACAGCGGCGAAAGGTCGAGGTAGGAAGAATTGTTGTTGATATTCATGTCACGTCGATCGGTTCGAAATATATCTAAACGCAGTGAGCAGCTATCCATGGCCATGATAACATCTTTGCCTGCCATTGTCGGTCTTTTGCCTTACCATGGATAATAAGGGCAGCATGATGGAACAGTAGAGATGAGATGCCTCCCTCGTTCTGTTTAAATTTACCATCCTCCCGTTTCATGAGAACTGTTTCTCAAATGTCAGACTCCGCTTTCTAAGTGGATACTATCTCTCAACCTACGGTCAAAGAGTAATCCCGGGTCTGGTCGAACACCAGGTAGCTTGGTGTCACTTCGGATTGACCTTGCGTATGGCATACCCGCCTTTCCTAGGTTTGGGAAGTGTACATTCTGGCGACGATGTTAGTTACCGTTAACACATGCTGTGCGTGCTTTGCCACCATCTGGACTCACGTTATAGCTCCCGTCTGGAGTACGGTAGTAGAATTTTGGTCCCTGGAAGTTGATTGGAGGGTGTTCAAGACTGTCCCACAGCCTCGTGATCAGGATATTTGTCAATTTAATACGATGTTTGGAGTTTGGCGGCAATGCTCCAACTATTGCAATGATGTTTTCCATCTAGTTATCATAAGATTAGTCAACGAACATGAAAAACTCTGCTGGAATATTACCTACTGCAAGCAATCTGTCATTCATCGGTTTCCCTTTGACGGTATCCTTGACGAACTTCACCACATCACCGACTCGCTTCAGATCCATATTCTTCGGGGGGTGTTTCATGATGGTTAGGATGAGGGAGCTACTGTCAATTCCTGTTCCATCATCATCCTTCTTCTTTACAATACCATCAGCACCTATAGTTTTCGGAGCGACGATCTCCCGGATATCGTGGCCATATCGATATACGGCAAAGCCCACTGCTGCTACCACGGCAGTGACTGTCCAATAGTACTCTGCCATTCTTCTTCTCTTTGAGATCAGAAAGAATAGAAAGAGTAATGAATGGTTCACTTGAAGCTTTGAAACCAGGACCAGTGGGGGATACACTCAGATAAATATATTAGGAGGGGATCATACCTGTGCCAAGACCTTACAGCCCCTCAAATCATGAGTTTTTCACTCCATCAGAGAGAGAGCGGGTGTGTTGTCTTGGAAAACTCAATATTGACAATAAATTGATCCACATTATATGGAAATTTAGTAAAGGTACTACATACAGCGCATGCAGTCACAGACCTCGAGCACAGGAAATCCATTCAGCTAGCCACGAGAAAAGCAATTGTGGCAGCTTTTCGTGGTCTAGCTCTCGCATTTTGGGTTGATCTAGAAGTTTAGTCTGCATACGCGGGACGTCTCTGCGCCAATCATGGACCCAGCAGGGGAAATCCCGCAGGCGATTTCGGGATTGTCTACGGAGTACGGAGTACGTACTGCGTAGTTATCGGTTTCCAATTCAGAGCCGAGCGTCCGGTGCAATTGATGTATATCATCTATTGGCGCCAGACTCGGGCGTGTTGATTTCTGCACTTGACGTCGCATACACTTACACACACAAAATACCTTATTTTTCGTCACCACGCACTCATTATTGGGACTTTACTTCTCGTCGGGAGACGATGTCAGCTGCCCACCAGTGTACATTACAGTGTATCCATACCAAAGGGCCTGCAATGCTGATCGAAGCTTAAGCCATCCCAGCGCAATCACCGTGGTGTCCGATTGCTATTGGGGCAATCGATTGACCGAAATTTGGATAGGGGGTATATTGTTGCCCGATGGTGTATTTAGGATTCTTTTGTGTGCGAAATGTTGGAGTTGAATATGTCGTTAGTATCCCTGTTCGGGGTTATTGTTCTCTGCAGCCTGTTTTAGTGGATATGCAAGAGCATGAGTTGGGATATTTTATTGCCGCCATCACAAAATTGTCAGCTCCTGCATTTAGTATAAACATTCCGCTTGCTGATCGAAAGGCTAGTGATATTTGCCACTCGACTTTGAAGAATATCTCCCACTCCGCCTACTCAACTTTGCAAACACCATTGCCCTTCTCTTGACAGTTATTCGACTTTACTTCTCGTTTCCCTTGGGTAACCCTTTCAATCATGGGCCCGTTCAACACAAATCGTGAGAATCGAAGTGATGCACCGCGTCGGCTTGTCCTTTGCTTTGACGGCACTGGGAACAGCTTTCAGGCGAACGAGTCAGATACAAATGTCGTTAAAATATACGATATGTTGAATCGTTTTGACAAGAACCAGTTCCATTACTATCAGCGTTAGTATATCCATACACCCCAACCTCCAATACACACATTTTGTCCTGTCGATCCTTACGAAATAAATAAGCGCTGATATTCATTCTCTTCTCCTAGCCGGAATTGGCACGTTTGATATTGGCTCAAGTCACTCGGGGACAACATTCATAGAGCGAGTAAGAACCAGTATTGGAGCGATGATGGACCAAGCTATCGGCACCACCTTCGAATACCACGTATCTGCTGGTTACAAATTCTTGATGAGATTTTACTCCCCTGGTGATGCAATATACATCTTCGGATTCTCTCGTGGGGCATATACTGCGAGGTTCCTGGCGGAGATGATCAACGTCATAGGCCTCCTGTCCCAGGGAAATGAAGATATGATTCGCTTTGCTTTCCAATCCTTCAGCGAAGTTCAACGGAATCGGGGCAAGATTAACAAGAGCACGAAAGAGGTTGAGCAGGAACGATACCTTGAACACTTCAAGCGAACCTTTTGTCGTCGCAATGTTAAGGTTTATTTCCTGGGTCTTTTTGACTGTGTGAACAGTGTCGGGCAATTTGAAGTTCCTTTCCGGCGACAATCATACCGCTATATTGCAACGGTAAAAATAACCGCTTCCCTCAACCGTGTGATTTCTTTACTGTCCTTGCATTTTTAACATGAAATCAAGCCCCCTGCAGTTCACATCCGTCATGCAGTTTCCATTCACGAACGCCGGCTCAAGTTCAAACCAGCACTTTTCCTATTCGAGAAGGAACATCAAGATTCTGACATCCAGGAAGTATGGTTTGCAGGAAATCACTGCGATGTTGGCGGAGGGTTTCACTACGAAGGCCCTGGGAAGCATCTTCTGTCCGATATCCCGTTGGCATGGATGGTCGACCAAGTCAACTCCCTCGATGATCAACCTGCCGGCAAACTAGCATTTGACCAGGAGACCATTATTAGAAGAGGCCACATGAAGGCAGGCCGTACACCTATGCTACTACCAACCCACGGCCTATCTTCCCATACTCCACGGGAATCTATTCTAAGAGAACGGAGACCGCACGACTTCCTAACCTTCGACCGTGGCGTAACACGCTTCGCAACGTTAATGTGGTGGATTCTAGGTACGTTCAAACCCTGATCGATTTAAATGCTACATTATTCCCGATATCCTATCATATCGGGTCGCTAACCGTACTCCCCTACTACATACAGAAATCCTCCCTCTTTTCACCCGCCTGGAACTCGAACACGGAGAATGGATCCCACGCTACTGGCCTCCGAATCTCGGGGCCACCCGTGACATACCCCGGGATGCCAAAATTCATGCTTCCGTAGCACAGATGTATAAGGCCGGTGTACTTACCGAAATGCCTCGGCTTGGTGGTGACCTACCTCCCTTTCTAGAGGATCCAATAATGCTTATACAGTCATTACCTTTTTTACTCTTTCACCTGCTGAAGCCGTGGAACTGGACCTACCGCTGGAGGAAACACAAACCAATTGCTCCAAAGACGCAAGAGGCCATCAAAAAGAAAGTAACAAGGGTGGTAGAATCGCATGGAGCTCGATCATGGAGTTGGACCTATTGAGGCTGGGTTTGCCCCTAGTGCGCATGCACTGAGAAGACGTAAAGCCCTTACCATCTAATCGAGCTAGTTTCTTTCTATCTATTCCTCATTAACCCTGTGGTCAATATTCCAATAATGTGGATATTTTCTTTGAACAAATGTCTTTTCCTTCGTTCCTGCAAGCTACTTAGGCTCAAAAATGAGGTTGAGATTTAGGTGTTTTTGACTAAACTCTAACCGGATTAGCATAGCGGGTCACTCCTTGGGTCAAGCAAGTAGTTACGCAGTATATTTGTAACACCCGTTTGAGCGTGGCTGAAATATTCTGGTTGGGATTTTAATGCCGAGTAACTTTTGTGGGAATCATCCGTGTTTTCACTTTTTCTTAGCAGCCATAGGACCTTGACGATAAGGTTCGATATACCTTTTTGTTGGTTTAGTATAAAAATGCACCCTTGAGATAGGCCCGTCACGATGGTCGAGCAATAGCGGTGTAATTCCGTGGCTTGTGGGTTTGCTGGAGACCCCGCACATCTAGAAACTTGGATGCGAAGGAACCGAATGTCGTCGTTGAACAAGTAACTCGATGTGATAAAGGGATAGATTGCTGCATAATGACCAAATGCTAGCTTTCGTTGGGTGGTTTCCCAATGAAATCTCCTCCCTTCGAAATTAACTCTGCTGACAACACAACGAAACAGACACATCTGAAGTGTAAAGTTGGAGGTTTTTGATTGAATACCTGGGAGCGAATGATATTTTGAAAACTTTGGTGAGGTTAGGGTGTATAGTAGGGTTTTTAGGGTTTGTCTACGGGTTGTATGGCGACTTTAATACGATATATAGTTGTATAAATTCTTTCCCTTTCTTGTACGCTGAAATTTCGATTTCCGGTGCTTCAGGCTCTGGTTCGATCTCTGTTTCTATCGAAAGTACGCGGTACTAAGCGCCGAAGGTGGGTGATAGGATACTCGGGATTCGTGTAGTGCTTGCTCTATTTTGAAGCAATTCACCTAGCATAACCAACCAACAACTCTCTTCTTCCCCCTGTGCGTGCCATTTCAACATCTGCGGAAAAAATGAATCAATCAATCACACCGTTGTAACTCGTCTCCGGGAGCTCCCCCCTAGTCATCCCCAATCAATGTAAGTGACGTTCAAGCCACTGAAGATCCTCTGATCGACAGAATCACAATCAGCTCTTTTCTTGGCACTTTGCAAGGAGGGTCGGAGTTCGCGCAACCACGTAGCTGGTGAGGAATTGCCGGATTGGATGCCCACGGACCATCCACGTCTGATAGCTATGCTATGGTACCTATCCGAGCCAAGGTGCGACCAGCGCTGGTAACGGCGTTGGGAGGCCTTTCTAATAGCCTGAGCAAAATACTCGATTGAGCTCCGCTATGGAGTACGAAAGCCTTTCCTTTGTAGATCTTGCTCAATTTCCAGATGAAGTAGATGTCTGGCCTTGGGGTGGACAAGTACCTGAGAAGATCCTATATTGTTGTGGGGCGCCGTGCGTAGGTATCTTTAAGGCTACTTCGTTGACGGCATCGTTCTCCTTGGTGCAATGCTCCCATCCTGCCTATATCGCTCTCTGCCCGTTAGCGTTCCTTACCAAAACGACAGCCACAATGTCCCACATATATCATGGACGGAGAGTGAAATCAACCTCTATAGCTTTTATATTTCTTCTCGTACGGCTTTGATTCGTTTTTGCGTGCGCTTTTCCTTCTAGGCTCAACCAACGACACACATACCAGAGATGGGGATATCGCGAGTAATGATGGCGGCCGTGACTGTGGCATCCGTCGTGAGCTTTAGTTCGGTGTATGCAGCAGCGGATTACGCACGATGGCGTCCACCAGGGCCGGGTGACGGTAAGATATTTTGGCCAAAGGTTTTTCTCGGACAATTTTATAATTCTGACAATATTGACAGTCCGTGGGCCATGCCCTGCACTGAACAGCCTTGCAAACCATGGCATACTGCCTCACAATGGCAAGCGAATGACTTATCCGACCTTACTTGAAGGCATATCAGAGGGTTTAAATGTTGGATTTGACCTCACCCTTGTTGCCGGAACTGGAGGGATGATAGGGGCGAAAAACCCGCTTCAGCTTTACTTCAACTTAGACGATCTGGCGAATCACGACTTGTTTGCCGAACACGATGCAAGCTTATCACGAAGTGACATATTCTTTGGCGACAATAACAGCTTCAACGAGACAATCTGGCAGAGCGTTCTCGACTATTTCAGACACGACGAAACCGTAAGCTTTCTAGCAGCTGCTAAGGCTCGGCTAAATCGCATCAAAACAGAAAGAGTACGAAATCCCGACTTTACGTTTAATGCGAAAGATGTCGTCATTAGCTATACTGAAACTGCGCAGTATTTAAGTGTGTTTGGGAACCCTGATACAGGACATCCCCAGGTTGATTGGATCAGGATTTTCTTCGGTGAGTACATGTACGGAGTACTGTACATTTAGAAATCCTAGGCATATGCACCAGTACCTTGTATCAGATCTCTAATTGAAAACATAGAGCAAGAACGGTTGCCATATGATGAGGGATGGGAGCGACCATCTAAACAAACAAACGCGGTAACCCTCGCGCCTTTGGTTGCAAAGCTCATGGTAGCTGGTGGGCAAATTGTTCCAGAGGCAGTATGGATGGTAGAGAACATTTTGTTAAAAATCTTGACGGGTCAGCCCATAGAAGGCTTGATAGGAAGACTCCCATTCATAAATACATAAATAAGGCATAATGGAAAAAGTAAGGAATTTCAAAACCAGTTACGACTGTGCTGGAAGGCGGCTCATACTATTGCTCCGTATACATGGCCCTGGTTTCTCGCTGTCGTTTCATGCTTCCCTCCCCTACCTCCAGGAGCGTTGTCTCTTGGGTATATATGAGCATGTATGTAGATGTACATACACCACACGATAGTATTTAGTGTATCTATAACAAGAATATCATAAATGTTGTGAATCCACTCCCTTGTATGTATATATAGTATGCTAAAGTGGTCGCTGAGGCTGGAGCGGACGAAAGCATGCTCTGCTTAGTCACCAACAAAATCCCGCCTTCTCGCCGCAGGAACAGATCGCGAACGGACAGTGATAGCGACATCGACCGCGCTACAACACCCAAAGCTCCGTTTGGAAGTTTTATCAACCTGACCAGAAATCGCCTCACATTCGCAATGGAAGTCCTTCACAATCCCCCGGAAGCCTCCTCATTTATTCCGCTTGCCGAACACCAATCGCATACCCCAGTATCGTTCTACTCAGGCCCCCCGATCCTGCACCATTTGAGCGAACGATGTAAAATAGTGATTTTAGAAAGGGAATTAAGCAAATCCGCTGCCTTGAGCGGGTTGCGACCAAGTGTGACGGGAGCTGAAGCTGTGAATGGCACTCCAGTTGGTGAAACTTCCGTTTCCGCTACAGCTCCCGCGGCCGCGAGTTCGGATCGGGAGAAAGAGATTGTGATAGATGGGATCGATGTTTGGGTAACATCTGAGTATGGATATACATTCCCCCACGTATATGATATTTCTACGAGGATGTTCGCACCTCTAACGTTGAAACAGGCGCCTACTCCTCTACTCCCAGCCTTCTAAAACCGGTGTCACAATCCCATACCCATCCATCTCCCTGCATGCGATTCAGCGCCTGCAAATACCTAACTCCAATCCCCTCGCGACTCCATCCACTGGAGATGAAAATACTGTGCAGGGGCTATATATGCAACTTGCAACAGACAGTAATGACAACCAGGAGGATGAGGACATGGAAGAAGGTAGCATATGTCTAACAATTGTACCTCCGCCTCCGCCTCCCCAACCACAACCACAACCTCAAGCACAAGAACAACAGCAACAGCAACAACAGCAAGAAGACAACCTCATCACTACAGAAGAAGAGGAAAACAAACCCAGCCAAACCCCAACACAAGACCTCTTTGCCGCCGTCTCAGCCTGCTCGAACCTGCACCCAGACCCACCCTCGCAACCTGGAAGCGACGACGAAGGTGACACGGATATGCAGGATAACCCAACCCAACAACTGGATAGTAGTATCTTGTATCAGAACGGCGTGATCATTCCTGGCAATAACGCTGGCGGCCTACCGCCTGCGATGCCCGGGAGTGGAGGTTGGATTACGGCGGAGAATGTGCATGAGTATTTTGATGAGGAAGGGAATTGGAAAGGGGGGGATGGTAATGAGGGTGAGCAGGGCGAAGGGTCGGGTGGAGTTTCTTTGGGCCCAGGGGCGGGGACGGTTAGGCCTCGTGAGGAAGGGGGTGAGGATAATGCGAGGGTCGGTTGCGAGGCGGATGCGGGTGAGGGTGGGGAGGAGACGAAGTGGAGGAGAACGGGTTGAGTGTTAACTATTGTTTCAAAAAGGAATAATCTGTAAATTTGGATGTTTTATGATATTTTTCTCTTTCATACCTCGAGGTGAGTTTTCTGGCTTATGTATTAGATAATTTACCTTGGTAGGTAGGAAGGTATAGCCATGAAAAGAAGATTAATTGTATTTGTTTGGTTTCAGACAGGGTGTGCTCATCGTGAGAGGCCTACAACGGGTGCAATTAAACATTAAGACAACGATCAACGGCTTCGAGAAATAGACGGGTGAAACAAACAACAATTGCACAGTCCACGCAAATCGAATACAACGGCAAGCAGAAGCGGCACCGTTACCTACAGGAGGAGGAAACGGAAATGATCAAGATCGTATGCACTTACATCTTCCAGCTTCTCCCAGGATCGAAATCAAAAAAAAAAAAAAAAAAAGCATACGAGCAAGCTAACACGACATCAAATAGACATCCAGGACAAATTATTGAAGTCAGCGAAATACTACCCCCATTCCCATTAGTAAACATGCCAAACAAGAGACCAACTCACAAAAGGCTAAGCGCGAGAAAAGAAAGCCAACAGGATCAGAACGGAGAAGAGCAACGTATGACAGAGGACCCTAAATGGATATGCACCAAGTAGTAGTTCAAACAATTCCAAATAGAAGACATAACTACCTAGAACCAATAGCAATTAAAATTCAAGAGCGACAACAATAATAACTCATCTTTGCCGTGCACCATATTCCATACCTACCTTACTCTCGCCCATATTTCATCAAGCAGGGCTGTCCATCACCTTCACTCCTTCAAAAATCCAAACTGATCATACATGCTCCCAGGAGTTCTCACAATCGATGAAGTCAGTTGTTCTGCCCCCAATCCAGTTCCTGCTTTCAACGGCGTCGAAACCGGCGGCGCTGCGGATCTTTTCTGTCTGTCAGAAGGTGATTTAGTTCCCTCTTGTTGAATAGAAGATCTAGCTCCAGCTTCCTCTTTTCCCAACTGATGATACTGGGATGGGCTGGGTTTCGGAGTGGGAGTTTCGCTACCATCGTCACATTTAGTGGTAGCATTACCGCCATTCTCCTTGTCACTACCCTCACAACAACCTCCATAAGGCTCATCATGCATCGCGATATTGGAGACAGATTTTATGGTTGTGAGTGCTACTCGAAATTTGGGGGCGCGGGAGCGGGATGGCGGTTGTGACACTTTTGGGATGGGTAGGACAGGCAGGGGTCTTGGCTTCTTCCCCCCTGACGTTTCTTCTTCCAATTCAGAGTTTTCGGGGAGAGCAAAAGCGTTCCTCGTAGGGCGACCGCTTCTATTGAGATTCCTCGCATCTTTGTCCACATTCGCGATATTGTTTGCATGACTCTCGAAAACAGGGAAACTGGATACTGTATGCGTGGACGTGGTTGTCGATGGAGCCGATGCGTGGTGCTCGCTTGTAGGCGTAGTAGTAATAGTAGACGTTACTGATGTGGAGCGCGCAGGTTGGGACTGAGCTTGATGTTGGGATCGTACACTCGTCGACGTGATTCGGCGGAGCGATGAACGACGGGGAATGCCTGGTCTTTCATCAGTGGGGCTTTGGGAAGTGTTTAGTACGCTGGAAGGACTTGGTGTCGACAGGTTTTTCGTTTCTACGCCACGGTCAATTGGAGTAGGCGTAGGTTCCCCGCCTTCATCGTCGGCCAAGTTCTGCTCGTCGTTATCAAAAGGGCTTTTAGAATCCTCAGTGGACGGTGGGAGTTCAGAAGATTCATTGATTTGACGGGTCGGGGTAACGGCTTTTGGTGGAGGTGTTGATTTACAAGAACTCTCTTCCAACTCCTCAATAGTTGGCGACAATGAAGTTGGAATGGGGTTTTGTTGACACACGGATAACCTGACACTCTTTCGGCGTTGATGTCCCTTCTTTTCCTCGTCGATAGATATTTTCCGCCGGGTTGATACGCGTGATGAACCAGCAGCACATTGAGCTCGCTTGGATGCACAACCATTGGCGTTTGACAACTGTCGAGTTCCACAATTCTTCCCGTTCTCAGTGATAGGCTTCAATATGGCTGACTGAGAGTGTGGTTGGTCCAACCTACATCCACTTTCATGGATGGAAGACGTGATTGCTTTGTTTGTGGTAGGCAGTTGACCCATTCGATTACTGGTATTAGTTTGAATCCATGGGCCACTCGTGAGTGAACGCGATACTCCGGGCGAAGGGGCATGCAGCTGGCAGATGCTAGTTGGCGACTGGACACCCAAAATGTGAGACGATTTTTCTGGGTAATGCATCGACGCGCTTCGTCTGGGAGAACCGTGATCTTGGACGTTCCTGTATGAGCTAGTAGACGTCGAGCTGTAGCGCCGGGGTGACGTTGCTGGTGGGATACGGGATACCGGTCCGCCTGCGGCAGAGGCTGATAGCCACCACCCACCTGTCGAAGTATACCGTTCATGAGTCCTAGGATAGGGTTCTCTGGCCGTCTCTAAATCAACTGAATCATTCAAGCTCTCCCGGACAGGATCGTCAAGTATAGAGCTGCCTGCAGTGTCCAGACTCTTGTTTGAAAGTAGCATGGAATTTTGTCTGGTCAGATCAGGCACCACAGGCGGACGCAGAGCTGGCAATGGGGGTACATCGTGCTTTGGAGGAGAGCCCGGAACTTGGCGTAGAATCCATTCAGACCGTCTTTTGGATAATTCAGAATCCACCAAATATGGGCCTCCTCGCATTGTTGCAGTAATATCATAGTATGACCCTTTTCTTGTCAGTGGCCATGAAGTGATACGGGCCCCTGCATCCTCATTGGTGGTGTCGTCATGCGGCAGAGGTGGTTTCCTCTTTGGAATGCAGTCTGCCTGAAGCTCTGCGATTGAGCGAGGAGATGAATCAATGTTCGCAACATCCGAGGGGCCTGTATACGAACATGGAGGTGGGACAGACTCGAGAGGTATGTCCCTACTTGATTTCTTGTGCAGGCGACGCGAATTACGCGACGATAATGTCGACATACGCGAAGATCTCCTTTCAGAAGTATGGCAGGGAGCCGGTTCCAGAATAGCCGGAGAAGACACTTGCCCGCGGATATTTTCCGTGGAGCTAATTGCAGACCATTGCCTTGCGCCGGCGTTTGAAAAAGGAAATGTTGAATGGAATAACCCACGCGACTGGGGGTATAAATTGGAATTGGGCCCATTGGAATGGAGGATATTCTTCCGGCGATAGCGTAGGCAAAGGATAGTCACTAGTAAAATAGACAAGAACACAGTAACAGCACAAACAATGGAAATTAACACAACATCACTCAGGAGAGCCATTGAGTTTACACATTCAAGGATTGATTAGCATGAGAAGAGTGTAATGCTGCTTGAGAGTGTGAATCTCA